GTACGTCGACATGACCAGGGACCCAACAAAAAATAATATCTTTATGCTTCGTAGAGATACGGCGTAGCCAAAGTTGGATAGGGAGAACTAGGGGGTGAGATGTATCAAATTTTCGTATAGCCTGTAAAGCACTAAGGGAGTCTGAGACTACCACAAATGATGACACAGGCATAGATGCAATACGAATAAGTGCTGCAAGAATGGCATACAATTCAGCAGTAAAAATGCTAGCCGAAGATAGTAAATGCCCCGCACGACGCTGTCCGGGAAACACTGCTGCAAATCCGACGCCGTCTGAAGACTTAGAGCCATCTGTGTTCACAGCGATGGCATGAGAATGGGAGTGGAAGTGATCAAGAAAAGGAGAGCTGGAAGCCACCGTAGGCAGTTGAGCTTTCAAGCACGGGAGTGAGAAAGAACAGACCCGAACAGCTGGAACTTCCCAGGGGGGTAGGGAAAAGTGAGATGCTACATGAACATATAAAGGTGGTAACTGAAGGGAAGACAAGAGTGAATGTAGGCGAAGAGAAAAGGGACGGAGCAAACAGGGGCGGCGAACGAATAAAGAATGTCTACTGATATCGGTGACCATTCTATAAATGGAAGGATTGTGGAGATCGTGAGAGCGTACATAGTAGCGAAGGCAATGGGCATCACGGCGATCAGACAAGGATGGAACATTTGCTTCTGCATAGAGGCTCTCAACAGTGGAAGAGCAAAAAGCACCAAGGCACAAACGTAATCCTTGGTGATGGATAGAGTTAAGGCTAGAGAGAGTAGCAGGAGAGGCCGCTGAATAAATCTGGTCACCATAATCGAGTTTCGATAAAACGAGGGCTGAATGTAGGAGAAGCAGAGTTTGACGATCAGCTCCCCAGGAAAGAAGAGCAAGGGTTTTAAGAAGGTTTAGCTGGCTGTGACAAGTTGCCTTCAGAGAGGTAATGTAAGGTTTCCAGGATAACCTACGGTCAAAGAGAAGGCCTAGAAACCTGACTGTATCACGTTCGGGGATACGGGAGCCATAGAGATACAAAGGATGATAGGAGATGACAGAGCGTCTAGTGAAAGTAATTTGGTGAGTTTTGGTACTGGAAAATTTAAACCCATGCGTGGTGGCCCAAGTGGAAACACGGTCGACCGCATGCTGGAGAGAAACGGCAATAAGATGACAGTCAGCGCCTGCACAAGCAATAGCGAAGTCATCAACATAGTGATGACCAAATATTGGGTGGAAGAACAGAGGCCAAATCATTTACAGCAAGGAGAAAAAGTGTTGTGCTTAGAACACATCCCTGAGGGACACCTTCAGCTTGGACGAAGTCCGGGGAAAGCACATTATTGACTCGAACACAGAAATGTCTGTCAGTTAAAAAGTTCTTAAGGAAAGATGGTAGATTGCCTAGGAGGCCTAAGGAGTGGGCCTGGGCCAAAATATTATACCTCCAAGTTGTGTCATATGCCTTCTCAAGGTCAAAAAATATGGCAATAACTGAGTGATTATTCGCAAAGGCATTACAAACATACGTATCCAAGCGTAGTAAGGGGTCTATGGTAGAACGGCCCTTGCGAAAGCCATATTGACTAGCGGAGAGACTGTTGTGTGTGTCTAAATACCACATTAAACGTCGATTTACGAGACGTTCCATCACTTTGCAAACTGCACTAGTAAGAGCGATGGGACGATAGTGGGAGGCATCATGTCCTGTAGTACCCGGTTTGCGGAAAGGGAGAACAATGGCAGATTTCCACAGCTGGGGAAGAACTCCTTGTGCCCAAATAAGATTGAAGAGGTGTAAGAGGACTACAAGGGCTGACCGATGTAAATGTTGTAACATACGAATATGAATGTCGTCAGGCCCAGCTGCCGATGATCGGCAAGCTGAGAGCGTTGCCTCCAGTTCTTGAAGTGTAAAAGGCACATTATACAGTGGACCCCCGCATAACGATCACCTCCGAATGCGATCATTTATGTAAGTGCGTTTGTACCTGTATGTTTAAGGGTCTGAAATGGACTAATCTACTTTACAATATGCCTTATGGGAACAAATTTGGTCAGTACTGGCACCTGAACATACTTCTTGAGTGAAAAAATATCGTTAACTGGGGGTCCACTGTACTGTTCTTCTCTGAGAGAAGAAAAGTCCAAGGGTACTAACTCTCTGGCAGACTTTGAGGAAAGAAACGAGGGGCATAGATGGAGGCCCCGGGAAATACGGACCAGATGTGTGCCAAGTTCAATGGCAACGTCGAGAGGGTTTGCTACATCAACACCAGCGACCCATAGAACAGGAGCCGGGTCAGGAGAGTATTTACCACTCAATTTCCTCACTTTTTTCCAGACTGCACTCATAGAAAAGCAGAGGTGATGGTGGAAACATAGTCTCGCCAGCAAGTGCGTTTATGCGTTCATGTTTAAAAATGTTGCTAATTTTGGGGCAGTGCTGTATGACCCTTTAGAGCAGTGGTTCCCAAACTTTTTCAGCTTGTTACCCAATTTAACATGCCACATAAAGCATGTTACCCCTTTCACAAACTGTTGTTATTATTGATATATATGGCTAAACGTGAACGTATACAGCCTCGCATACTCTGCTAATCCTAGCAAAACCATTGAAAACGTAAGAACCACACATACATTATATATAAAATTAATAATATCTACAAATTCACAGTAACAGTGGGTAAATACTAACTATATACTGCACAGGGCAGTACACATACATACCAGCTTATGTCTACCTCGGCTGATGCTCACAGATAAACTGACAGTGTGAAATAGAGGCAGCCTCAGGAAGTGAGTGACGCGTACTGGACAGGTCGATCTGGGCTACTGAGTGACTTTTGTCCTGAAGCATACTTGTCAAAATACTTTTGGGTTTCCACACACTTAGCTATATATTTCTTCTTTTCTAATACTGTATATTAGTTTTTGATGTTTATTGTTATTTGGTTTAACTTTAATACTTACTTATAATAGGTTTACTTTACAACTTTATATACTAAGACAAAGTTAACAATAATCCTCATACCGGGTACCGCATTGTTTTCTTGATTTTCAGAATTCATAACTTTTTTTCTGTCACCCCTCCATTACCCCCCAAAAATGGTTAAATTACCCCCAGGGGGTAATTTACCCCCAGTTTGGGAACCACTGCTTTAGAGTTTAGCACTTGATTATGATTATAATAAAATTCTAATTTTAGGATACCAAATTCAAATCTGAACTTAAATTTGCACCAACACGTACAGATTCTGTGAAATAGAATGCTATAGTGAACAATTTCACCAAAACATATTCATCAAGAAGAAATATCAGGAAACTGATGATCAGTGATTGCAGACTGCTGCTGGACACTGGTGAGGGAGAGCCATACTGAACAAGCCAAAAGGCCTGAAAACTGTGATGCAAATATGTTTGAATGACTATGGAAATTTCTGTTGTTTTTGTTATGCACATATATAATGAATTTGTCACCATTAGTTTGTCACTGCATGCATCACACTTAAATATCTATGTATATATAATACCTATGATTGTTAGGTAATATATATCATGTGGTTCTTCAACCTTAAATAGCCAAAATATTAATTAAAGGGTTTTATAAATCTGTACATGATAGAGCTAAACAAGCTCCGATTCATGATAGGTGCATTAAATGTAGCATAAAACTACCAATTTGGTTTTTGAACTATAACAAAATAAGAATCTTTATTTCTACAAGTACATGTACTATGTATACAGATCTAGTGGACATCAATCACATATCGAAAGCCCCTTGTTATGCAGAGCATAACTAGAAAAAGTTAAATTTTGTTGGATACAGAAAATTATTAAATTCTATTAAATTAGTAAGACAGAATTTGCTTTGTTTGAAACCATGCTGATGTTGAACATTAAAATGGTATAAAATACCAGACTGAGGGACTGACCACCTCAAAACTTTAAGGGTGATGGACTGATTACATCGTCTTCAAGTCTCTTCTGCTTCTATCAACTTTTCTGTACTCGACTGAAGAAGCCTACTGTGTAGGCGAAACGTTTCGAAATAAAGATACCTAACTGTTGCATATGTCTTACCTAACATGCTGATGTTACATGGCAATATTCATGCTTCAAAATGACCCTTTTTTTTAGTATCAACTTGTGTCAGCAATACTGATATATTTCAGATTATTATAAGCAAAAGAAATTATTATTATAATCAAAAAGAGGCACTAAACCTACAAGGGTCAAATAAGCAAAGGGAAGCACTAAACCTAATGTAGTTTAAAACATCCTTCATATTTTTTTTTAATAGTAATATACTGATTGCTTCTCAGCCGTCTATTAGCTTTTCTGTCTCTAAAACTTTAGCCTCTTCCTTCACTATCTACTAAGAGATCTCTGGTCTTACTACCTCTGTCCTGTCCAATTCAGTGTTCCTACTTGCTCTGGGAGTGGGTTGCAGCCTCTTTACTACATATTTTGAATTCCTTTTTTGTGTGATCACTTGATCTCTTGGATATTTTTCCAATGTGGCAATGGAATACTTTAGGTTTACTTACTTACTTTAACAATTATGTCATTTTTACCTTGTTCTGCTTCTCAGTGTCACTTCTTTGTTATTTGTGTGTTATATTTTTTCACTACTTATTCCTGATTTCTGCTTCTTTGCATTTGTTTGTAAAAGTTGCTAGCCATTATTAATTACAGGGAGAGATAGAAAAGGACTTAAGTTGTTAGATCTGTATAGTAGAGAGAGAGAAAACAGGGAACGTGGAAAAGCAAAGTAATGAAGATAGACAGAACAAATAAAATAAAATTGGTCATAAACTGGCTGAAACATCTAAAGACCCAACACTGGCAGTGAGAGGACAGACTGAAAAGGGGTGTTTGGTAGTTTGCCAAGATCCACTTGTATGTGCTATACTTAAGAGAAATATTAGTAAAACTGGAATGTACAGTTTCAGTATGTATAAGCTAAATATCACAATAAATCTGTATGTTTCCAAAATGAAAATTAATGTTTTTTGGTCTGTGGAGGAGGAATTCCAAGCAATTCACAAAGCCGATTACGCTGTTTTCGGGCTTCCTCAATATTATCCATCCACTCTGTCTCCTCTAAAATATTGGTGACTTCCTCTAGATGTTCTTCAGGAACAATTTCTTGATCACAATAATCTTGTATTGCAGTTAGTAAACTGGTTGCAGTAACTGTTCGAACTTTGGGATACTGTCACCAAATAAAAGTGAAAAAAGATTATAATACAAGTTAATTAAATGGGATTCAGAATCATGACTATTTACATTTTAATTCATTCTTAAGCCAAAACTTGCATAAATTTCTAACATAAAATTTACAATTAAATTTAATGATAAATAATGCTGAATAAAATAATCTGATTATATTTTAGCATTACTCATTTTTAAATTATGTTTAACTACTGTGCACTGTATTTCTCAGTAAAAACGTCTCACCTGATATCCTAAGAAGAGTGAGAGCTGGGTGAGGCAGGACCTTGTTGCACTGCTGTTCATTCTCAATAACTCGCATAGAGCAGTGATCACTGCTGCCAGCTTGTGGTAATCTGTAGACTTAAAACACTCTTTTTTTAAGACGGTAATGAGCCTAGAAGTGTATATTTCATCTTGTTCGAGTACCTGTAAAACGAGAAGAGTTCTCATGTTATTGACTTCAATGGTACTGTATCCAGATACAATAAAAATACATAAAAATATGTGCTAATAAAACTGCTCTATTTCTATATACATATGGACAGCTAAATGTGAATAAGATATACATGTACATTAAAAGTATACTGTACATTTACTAAGTAGTCACTTCCTAACTGCATTCTTTCCCATTATATAAAAGAAATATGCTTTCAATAAGACAAAAGAATTAATTGCTGTATTAGTAAAAGTCATAATTTAAGATCTGAATCTCTTTTAATACTCTTCTTTACATCTATTTCATTAAATGAAGAGTTCTGAATTTGGAATTAATCACCAGTGATTGTTTAAAAAAATTCCTGAAGATTTAAGTAGTCCCATTCCTATGTAATGGTCTCCACTCCCTATTAAGATGTTCAAAATGCTTGTGATTGTAAATTGGCCAGCATTTTATAAATGCATGAAGGCAATTTCATGCAGGAAAGCATTTTCAAACCTAAGTTCAAAAAAAGGTGAATCAGATACTGAGGACTTAACTTACTAAAAGTATGTTACATTTTCAATGAATAAATATTTTAGATACTAACCGGATCAAGAATTGCTGAAGAACTTAACAAGTCTCCTACAGTTTTGATTAAAGGGAGTGTGATTCGATCCACTTTCTGATAAGCTACAAACAACTGTAGGATTGTTTCCAAGAAGGATGAGAGAAAGTCTGTTTTCTCTGCTCGAGCATTCAAATAGCTGTGTATGGCTTCACTTGTGTATCGTGACTGTTGAAGAAAAGCAAGAACATTTTAATACGTAATTTGGGTACTGTATAAACGTGAAAAGAGCTGATACTATATTGGTAACGTGTATCTATTATCTAATCAAGTACATAACCTTAAACTATATTTACAAACCATTTACTATTTTATGATCTTTAGCATGGATCTACATGACTGAGGCCAGCGTCACTTAGATCTACACAAATTCTAGTACCTTCAAATTCATCATCCAAATATATGACTTGAATATTCATTTGTACATTATTAAATCACACATTTTCAGTTTTCTGTTAAGAGGTACAAGGAGAATATCAGAAAGTAAGAGAGAGGTGAAGGTTTATAAAAAAAAGGAGGAGACAGTTAGAGTAAGATACAAGCAATTACTTGTAGAAAGATGGGCTAGTAATAGTACAGAAAATGAAGTTTAAGAGGTATGGGGTAGATTTAAGAAAGCAATGTTAGCATGTTCAGCAGAAGTTTGTGGATATGGTAGAGTGGGTGTGGGAGGGAAGAGGTAAGACTGGTGGATTGATGAGGTAGTGAGAGTAGTAAGAGATAAAACATTAGCATAGGAGAAGTTTCTACAAAGCAGAAGGGATGTAAGGAGGAAGAAGCATATGGAGAAACGTAAAGTGGTGAAGTAATGTAAAAGGAGAGCAAATGAGAGAGTGGGTGAAATGCTGGCAACAAATTTTGCTGAAAATAAGAAATATTTTTGTAGTGAAATTAATAAGCTGAGAAAGCCTAGGGAATGAATGGATTTGACAGTTAATAACTTAAGAGTAGAGTTATCAGATGGAGAGTTGGAGGTATTGGGAAGATGGAGGGAACATTTCGAGGAACTTTAATGTTGATGAAGTTAGGGAAGCTGTGAACTCGTGCATTGGCCAGGGAGGTTTAACATCTTTTAGGAACGAGGAAGAACCGGATGTGAGTGTAGGGGAGGTATGCGAGGCTGTGGGTAGAATGAAAAGGGGTAAAGCAGCTTGGATTGATGGGATCAATACAGAAATGTTAAAAACAGGTGGGTATATACTTAGGAATAGTTGGTGCTTTTATTTAATAAATGTATGAGCAAAGGGAAGGTACCTAGGGATTGGCAGAGAACTTGCATAACTCCTTTGTACAATGGAAAGGGGACAAGAGAGAGTAAGAATTATAGGGTAATAAGCCTGTTGAATATACCTGGTAAGGTGTATGGTTATTACTGAAAGAATTAAGAGTAAGATGGAGAGCAGGATCGCAGATGAGCAAGGAGGCTTTAGGAAGGGAAGGGGATGTGTAGACCAAGTATTTACAGTGAAGCATACAAGTGAATAGTATTTAGATAAGGATAAAGAAGTTTTCATTGCATTTATTTATTTTTGAAAAGGCATACAACAGGGTAGATGGGGAGCAACATGGCAGATGTTGCAAGTGTATATAATAGGTTGTAGGTCACTGAAAGCAGTTAAGTTTTCTTACAAGGATAGCGAGGCTCAGGTTTGAGTATGAGAGAGGGAGATTATTTCCCAGTAAAAGAAGGCCTTAGACGGGATGTGTGATGTCACCATAGTTCTTCAATATATTTAGAGATGTGGATGTAAGGTAAGTGAATGCTCAGGTGCTGGCAAGGTATGAGATTAGAAGATAAACAATAACACAAAGTGGGAGTTGTGACAGTTGCTTTATGCTGATGACACTGTGCTCTTGGGAGATTCTGAAGAGAGGTTCCAGAAGTTGGTAGACGAATTTGGGAGGGTATGTAAGAGAAGGAAATTAAAGGTGAAAATAGGAAAGATCAAGGTGATGAGAATAACAAAAAATTTAGGTAATTAAAGATTGGATATCAGAGTGGAAGGAGTGAGTATGGAGGAAGTGAATGTTTTTGAATATTTGGGAGTGGATTTGTCAGCAGATGGGTCGATGAAAGATAAGGTGAATCATAGTATTGATTAGGGAAAAAAGGTGAGTGGTACACTGAGAGTTTGTAGAGACAGTATGTTATCCATGGAAGCAAAGAGGGGGAATGTATGAGAGTATAGTTATACCAACGCTCTTATTTGGGTGTGAAGCATGGGTGACGAATGTTGCAACAAGGGGAAAGCTGGAGACAGTGGAGATGTGTCTGAGGGCAATGTGTGGTGTGAATATTATGCAGAGAATCTGGAGCTTGGAGAATATGAGGTGTAGGGTTTCTAAAAGTATTATCCAGAGGGCTTGCCGAGACGGAGTTGCTGAGATGGTTCGGACATTTAGAGGATGGAACAAAATAGCCTGACTTGGAAGTTGTATAAATCTGTGGTGGAAGACAGAGGTGTAAGGGTCATCCTAGGAAGGTTGGAGGGAGAGGATAAAAGAGGTTTTATGCACAAGGGGCTTAGACTTCCAGCAGGTGTGCGTGAGCATGATAAGAGAGTGGAGGCAAATGGCTTTTATGACTTGACATGATGTTGGAGTGTGAGCAAAGTAACTTTTATGAAGAGATTCAGGGAAACCAGATAGCTGAACTAGAGTCCTGGAGGTGGAAAGTACAGTGACTGTGCTCTGAAGAAAGGGTATAGATATGTTGCAGTCTCTGGCAAAACAATGATGGAGTGATGATGAAAGTATTTCTTCTTTTTGGGTCACTGCCTCTGTGGGAAATGGCAATTGTGTTATAAAAAAAAATAGTAATAAAAATATTTGTACTAACCAAATTTGCAGAGATCCCTCCAGCCGAGTAAGTGATTCCCAATAGGACTCGAGTCCTATAAGCCGGGAAGTCCAAAAGCTGAATGAATATATGAAATGTAGCCTTTTCTGATGCCCAATTCATTATATCGCATGCTTCCTTTGGAAAAATGGTTTCCAGTTCCTTTAAGTTAGGTATGTATGGTAGTTTTGGTGAGCTGGAAAAATAAATTGCATTAATATAAAGTAACCTAACCTAGCCTATCCATGGTTTCCACTCTTAAACTCTTTGGATTGTATTTCAATACAATAACAAACAAAAATAATCATATACTATATTACAATTCAGAGGTCTCAGGAGGGATTACTGAGATGGTTAAGTTCACCTCTGCCATGTATTAGCAAATTTTATACTCAGTGTGTTAGTCAACCCTTAGCATAAAAAATCTACTTAAATGTCAGCTATATATACATATATATATATACATATATATTTTTTTTTTCAACAAGTTGGCCGTCTCCCACTGAGGCAGGGTGACCCAAAAAAGAAAGAAAATCCCCAAAAAGAAAATACTTTCATTATCATTAAACACTTTCACCTCACTCATACATAATCACTGTTTTGCAGAGGTGCTCAGAATACAACAGTTTAGAAGCATATATGTATAAAGATACACAACATATCCCTCCAAACTGCCAATATCCCAAACCCCTCCTTTCAAGTGCAGGCATTATACTTCCCATTTCCAGGACTCGAGTCTGGCTATATAAAAATAACTGGTTTCCCTGAATCCCTTCACTAAATATTACCCTGCTCACACTCCAACAGTTTGTCAGGTCCAAAATACCATTCCTCTCCATTCACTCCTATCTAATATGCTCATGTAAGCTTGCTGGAAGTCCAAGCCCCTCGCCCACAAAACCTCCTTTACCCCCTCCTTCCAACCTTTATGAGGAGGACCCCTACCCCACCATCCTTCCCCTACAGATTAATATGCTCTCCATGTCATTCTACTTCAATCCATTCTCTCTAAATGACAAAACCACCTCAACAACCCCTCTTCAACCCTCTGACTAATACTTTTATTAACTCCACACCTTCTCCTAATTTCCACACACTGAATTTTCTGCATAATATTCACACCACACATTGCCCTTAGACAGGACATCTCCACTGCCTCCAACCGCCTCCTTGCTGCAGCATTTACAACCCAACCTTCACACCCATATAAGTGTTGGTACTACTTTACTTTCATACATTCCCTTCTTTGCCTCCACAGATAATGCTTTTTGTCTCCACATATACCTCAACACACCACTCGCCTTTTTTCCTTCATCAATACTATGATTAACCTCATCCTTCATAAATCCATCTGCTGACATGTCAGCTCCCAAATATCTGAAAACATTCACTTCTTCCATACTCCTCCTCCCCAATTTGATATCCAATTTTTCTTTATCTAAATCATTTGATACCTTCATCACCTTACTCTTTTCTATGTTCATTTTCAACTTTGTACCTTTACACACACTCCCAAACTCGTCTACTAGTCTTTGCAATTTTTCTTTAGAATCTCCCATATGCACAGTATCATCAGCAAAAAGTAACTGTGTCAATTCCCATTTTGTATTTGATTCCCCATAATTTAATCCACCCCTCTCCCAAACACCCTAGCATTTACTTCTTTTACAACCCTATCTATAAATATATTAAACAACCATGGTGACATTACACATCCCTGTCCAAGACCTACTTTTACCCTCTCTTACACACACCCGAACCTGAGCCTCACTATCCTCATAAAAACTCTTTACAGCATTTAGTAACTTACCACCTATTCCATATATGTGCTTGCAACATCTGCCACATTGCTTCCCTATCCACTCTATCATATGCCTTTTCTAAATAGATAAATACAATAAAAACTTCCCTACCTTTATCTAAATACTGTTCACATATATGCTTCAATATAAACACTTGATCTACACATCCCCTACCCACTCTAAAACCTCATTGCTCATCCGCAATTCTACATTCTGTCTTACCTCTAATTCTTTCAATAATAACCCTACCATACACTTTTCCTGGCATATTCAGTAAACGTATTCCTCTGTAATTTTTACAATCTCTTTTGTCCCCCTTCCCTTTACAAAAAGGGACTATACATGCTCTCTGCCAATCCCTAGGTACCTTCCCCTCTTTCATACATTTCTTAAACAAAAATACCAACCACTCCAACACTACATCCCCCCCTGCTTTTAACATTTCTATCATGATCCCGTCAGTTCCAGCTGCTTTACCCCTTTCATTCTATGTAATGCCTCCTGCACCTCTCCCACACTCACATCCTACTCTTCTTCACTCCTACAAGATGGTATACCTCCCTGGCCAGTGCACGAAATTACTGCCTCCCTTTCTTCGTCGACATTTAAAAGTTCCTCAAAATATTCTCATCATCTACCCAATACCTCCATCTCCCCATCTACTAACTCCCCTACTTTGTTTTTAAATGACATATCCATTCGTTCCCTAGACTTTCTTAACTTGTTTAACTCGCTCCAAAGTTTTTTCTTATTTTCATTAAAATTTCTTGACAGTGCCTCTCCTACTCTATCATCTGCTCTCCTTTTGCACTCTCTCACCACTCTCTTCACTTTTCTTTTACTCTCCATATACTCTACTCTTCACATAACACTTCTGCTTTGTAAAAACCTCTCATAAGCTACCTTTTTCTCTTTTATCACACCTTTTACTTCATCATTCCACCAATCACTCCTCTTTCCCCCTGCACCCACCCTCCTATAACCACAAACTTCTGCCCCACATTCTAATACTGCATTTTTAAAACTATTCCAACCCTCTTCAACCTCCCCCACTCGCTACTCGTACTTGCACCAGCCCACCTTTCTGCCAATAGTTGCTTATATCTCACCCGAACTTCCTCCTCCCTTAGTTTATACACTTTCACCTCCCTCTTACACACGCACGCACATGCACACGCACACGCGCGCACACACACACACACACACACACACACACACACACACACACACAGTAATCATCAAAAGTATACCTGTAGAGAAGAGTAGCAAATGCTGATCCAGCCACTTTTCGTGTTCTGTCTATTCTTTCTACTGCTTGTTGGCAAATACGAGACATCATGTCTCCAACAATCTCCTCAGTTAACAAACTGTCATTCTCCATAACAACTGCTAAAGTTAAGGCCTGAAATAAAATTTTGATTCATATGCAAAACTATAAACCCTCTGAAATGGAACACTTGGGATGAAAATGATAATGACCTTGTAAGTTGAATTATATATGATCTGATGAAAATAAATGGTATAAAATACCGACACTATGGAAACATAAACACATATGCAGTTTCATGTGATCCTTTATTGACAACGTTTCGCCCACACAGTGGGCTTTTTCAAGTCACAAACAGATCTACCTGGGGTGGAAGGTACGGGAGTATTTATAGTCAGAATGTTGAGGTCAGGTGGAGAATGCTGCATCTGAGGATCCACTGGGTGGGGTTATAGAGTCTTGGGTAGGTTGGCAGGGGTATTGGACAAGTTGTGAGTAGACCTTCTGCAGTGTTCTATGTTCTTATGTGGGATAGCGATGAAGAAGTTTCTTGGCAAGTGGTTCAGCTATGTTATAGAAGCCATTGTTCTGGTTGAAATTGTTGGTTATAGAGATAAGCGACAATTCCAGGATTCTTCGGTATTGAGTGTTGTCTTCTGTGGCAATAAGTCTTGAGTTTGTGTAGTTGATTAAATGGTTGTGTGAATTGCGATGTTGTACACAGGCATTCCTTGTATCGTCAGTCCTGCTTGCATATTGGTGTTCTGAAATACGTGTTTGGAGGTCTCTTGATGTTTCGCCCACATATAATTTGTTGCAGTCATTACAAGGGATTATGTATACCCCTGCAGAGGATGGAAGCTTGTCCTGTCTACTACTGGTGATGTCCTTGATGGTCGTGGTTGTTGAGGTAGATACTTGGAATGATGTATTGGAAAAGATGTTGGAAACATGTTTGGCAATGGAGTTGGTGGGGAGGACTATGTATCTCTTCTCGGCAGTGTCTTCTCTGGGTGTGTTGAAGATGTTTAATGCCCACCGTCTGCAGTCTCTGATGAAGTGACGAGGATAGTGGAGTTTAGAAAATACTTGTTCAATTATAGTGCATTCTTCCTCAATTAACTCATTGCTGCAGATTCTGAGTGCACGCAGGAAGAAGCCTATAATTACACCAAGTTTAGTTTTGGTGTCGTGGTGAGAGTAGAAGTGGAGAAGATCGTTTTGGTTGGTTGGTTTTCGATAGACTTTAAAACGAAGTTCATGGTCAGTTTTGTAGAGAAGAACATCAAGGAAAGGAAGAGTGTTGTTGACTTCTTCTTCAAGTGTGAACTGGATTGAGGGCTCGACCTGGTTGAGTTTGTCTTGGAGAGCTTGAACGTTGAAGCGCCTGGGAGTTATGTAGGTACTTTGGTGAATAGGGAAACAAGAAACTTTCCAGCCTTGATGTAACTTCCCTATTCACCAAAGTACCTACAACACAAGCCATCGATCTACGCAGAAAAATTGACGATTCACTTGATCTTCCTATTCCAGCTAGCGATTTCATCGACCTCGTTGAACTATGTGTCGGCTTTACGTGTTTCTCTTTCAAAAATCACCTCTTTCAACAGACTTTTGGTCTACCCATGGGCTCGCCACTCAGTGCCATCCTGGCAAACTTATACATGGAACATCTGGAAGCCGAGCGTTTCTCCACCATTATTCCTTCGACTGTCACCTGGCTCCGTTATGTTGATGACATTCTCCTCATAACTCCCAGGTGCTTCAACATTCAAGCTCTCCAAGACAAGCTCAACCAGGTCGAGCCCTCAATCCAGTTCACACTTGAAGAAGAAGTCAACAACACTTCCTTTCCTTGATGTTCTTCTCTGCAAAACTGACCATGAACTTCGTTTTAAAGTCTATCGAAAACCAACCAACCAAAACTATCTTCTCCACTTCTACTCTCACCACGACACCAAAACTAAACGTGGTGTAATTATAGGCTTCTTCCTGTGCGCACTCAGAATCTGCAGCAATGAGTTCCTTGAGGAAGAATGCACTATAATTGAACAAGTATTTTCTAAACTCCACTATCCTCGTCACTTCATCAGAGACTGCAGACGGCTGGCATTAAACATCTTCAACACACCCAGAGAAGACACTGTCAAGAAGAGATACATAGTCCTCTCCACCAACTCCATTGCCAAACATGTTTCCAACATCTTTCCAATACATCATTCCAAGTATCTACCTCAACAACCACGACCATCAAGGACATCACCAGTAGTAGACAGGACAAGCTTCCATCCTCTGCAGGGGTATACATAATCCCTTGCAATGATTGCAACAAATTATACGTGGGCAAAACATCAAGAGACCTCCAAACACGTATTTCAGAACACCAATACGCAAGCAGGACTGACGATACAAGGAATGCCTGTGTACAACATCGCAATTCACACAACAATTTAATCAACTACACAAACTCAAGACTTATCGCCACCGAAGACAACACTCAATACCGAAGAATCCTGGAATCATCGCTTATCTCTATAACCAACAATTTCAACCAGAACAATGGCTTCTATAACATAGCTGAACCACTTGCCAAGAAACTTCTTCATCGCTATCCCACATAAGAACATAGAACACTGCAGAAGGTCTACTCACAACTTGTCCAATGCCCCTGCCAAGCTACCCAAGACTCTATAACCCCACCCAGTGGATCCTCAGATGCAGCATTCTCCACCTGACCTCAACATTCTGACTATAAATACTCCCGTACCTTCCACCCCAGGTAGATCTGTTTGTGACTTGAAAAAGCCCACTGTGTTGGGCGAAATGTTGCCAATAAAGGATCACATTAAACTGCATATGTGTTTATGTTTCCATATATGATCTGTTGAATAGAATGATATACAATACTCCGCGATGTAATCTATTTCACCTTTCATTATTACTACTTATCAACTGTTTCTGCACTGGGAGGTGCTGTACAACATTCTTACATCATTGTATTTGTATGCATTTTGCTGTTTTCAATACTAACATAATATAAAAATTTATATGTAGGTGAATCCCCTGTCACATACTGTTTTTTCCACCACCTTTCAAAAGAGTACTATATTAACTCTAGAGAAAAAAAACTAACATCAGTCACCTCCCACCAAGGTAGGGTGATCCAAAAAACAAAACATATTCACTGTCATTCATTCAATCACTGTCTTGCTAGAGACATGCTGATATCACAGTTCAGACAGTCCTCCCAACTGAAGCAGCCTCATCCCACCTTTAGAGCATAAGCACTGTACCTCAAGGACCTAAATCCTACTAACAGTTTCCCCTTAATCCCTTCATAAAACTATTTGCCTCCACTCACTCTGATCTAATGCACTCACAAAAGCCAGATGAATGCTCAAACCACTGGAACTCAAAACTCCTTTATCCCCTCCATCCAACCTATCTTGGAATGACCCTACCTATCTTTCCCTTCATTCTCCAGATTCATGTACCCTTTCATATATTGACTTTCTCCATTGCCACCATATCTCCTCACTCCCCACCTGCCTCTCTTCACACCCCCACTTTCCCTTCAATATCCACAAACTTCTGCTATGCAGTCAAAACACTCCATTCCTCAAGCCCTTCCTCATTATCTATACTCTCTCTAGTTAAGCCTTCTCCCAACAGCTGTGTATATCATAACTAACTATTGCCTCCTCTAATTTATTCACTTTCACCTACCTCTTACTCACTGATGATATTCTCCTTGTACCCCATCTACCTCTTACTCTGTAGCTAACAATAAATAACAATCTGGTATATCTGTTGCCCCTCTAAAAAATGTACATTAAGTAGTTTAGTAACCCTCAACCTATCATTTAACAAAATTCTGTCATTATGGCCTATATATCTCATACTTTCTTAAAATAAGTGTTGCCTATCATTAAACCTTTTTCTATATGCTTTTTCTATATGCGATTCATAAGAACATAAGAAAGGAGGATCACTGCAGGAGGCCTGTTGGCCCATACTAGGCAGGTCCTTTACAATTCATCCCACTAACAAAACATTTGCCCAACCCGATTTTCAATGCTACCCAAGAAATAAGCTCTGATGTGCAAGTCCCACTCAAATCCAACCCCTCCCACTCATGTACTTATCCAACCTAAATTTGAAACTACCCAAATACCTCAATAACCCAACTAGGTAGACTGTTCCACTCATCAACTACCCTATTTCCAAACCAATACTTTCTTATGTCCTTTCTAAATCTAAACTTATCTAATTTAAATCCATTACTGCAGGTTCTCTCTTGGAGAGATATCCTCAAGACCTTATTAATATCCCCCCTATTAATACCTATCTTCCACTTATACACTTCGATCAGGTCTCCCCTCATTCTTCGTCTAACAAGTGAATGTAACTTAAGAGTCTTCAATCTTTCTTCATAAGGAAGATTTCTAATGCTATGTATTAATTTAGTCATCTTACGCTGAATGTTTTCTAACGAATTTATGTCCATTCTGTAATATGGAGACCAGAATTGAGCTGCATAATCTAGGTGAGACCTTACTAATGATGTATAAAGCTGCAGTATGACCTCTGGACTTCTGTTGCTTACACTTCTTGACATAAATCCCAGTAATCTATTTGCCTTATTACATACGCTTAGGCATTGCTGTCTTGGTTTAAGGTTGCTGCTCACCATAACCCCCAAGTCCTTTTCGCAATCTGTATGGCTAAGTTCTACATCATTTAACTTATAAGTGCTAGGGTTATGGACACTCCCGAGCTTCAGAACCTTGCATTTATCTACATTGAACTGCATCTGCCACTTTTCTGACCAAGAATAGAGTTTGTTTAAATCCTCCTGAAGTTCCATAACATCTCGTTTGAATCAATTATCCTACCTATCTTTGTGTCATCGGCGAATTTGCTCATATCACTAGTAATTCCCTCATCAAGATCATTGATATATATTATAAACAACAACGGGCCCAAGACTGATCCCTGTGGAATGCCACTTGTTACAGATCCCCACTCGGATTTAACCCCATTTATGGACACTCTCTGCTTCCTGTCTGTGAGCCATGACTCGATCCACGAGAGCACTTTTCCCCCAATGCCATGAGCTGCCACTTTCTTTAACAGTCTATGGTGCGGAACTCTATCAAAAGCCTTACTAAAATCTAAGTAAATAATACCAAATTCTTTATCGTGGTCAACAGCCTCAAAAGCTTTACTGAAGAAAGTTAATAAATTAGTTAGACAAGACCGGCCTCTTGTGAATCCATGCTGAGTATCATTAATCAAGCTATGCTTATCGAGATGGCTTCTTATAATCTCAGCTATAATTGACTCTAGTAATTTGCCTACAATTGAGGTCAGGCTTAGTGGGCGGTAATTTGACGGTAACGACTTGTCCCCTGTTTTAAAAATAGGAATTACATTACCCATCTTCCACATATCAGACACTACACCTGTTTGAAGAGATAAATTAAAAATATTAGTTAATGGTTCACAGAGTTCCATTTTGCATTCCTTAAGAACCCTTGAAAAAACCTCATCAGGACCCGGCGATTTGATTAATATCATTTACTCCAGCACTCCATACTTACCTACTGTACCCTCTTGCTTTAGCATTTAGGCTAAAATGTATAAAATTTTGTTAATGTGATTAGGAATGAGAATATATATAGAGGAATATCTAGTTTTGCAAGGATAAAATAACATACCATGGGAAAGACAATACAATAATCCTGCTGAACAATAGGAAACAGTTTATTAAATTATTTATGAAAAGAAAACAAACATGTCCTTACCTGTAATGCTGATATAGCTGCCTCTCTGACCCAAGCACCAATGTCACCCCTGCGGTCCATTGTGTAGTCATCTAAACTCTTCAGTAGAGCCTCATAGATGCTTGGTAGATTGCCTTCACAAACATGTTCACATGCTATGAAACATAAAACATTTTCTAGAACACTTAGATTATAAAAAAAATGTATTAAGGAGCTTAAAAAATACGATATAGTGAAAGTGTATAAACTTAGGGAGGAGGAAGTTCGGGCGAGATATCAGCAATTATTGGCAGAAAGGTGGGCTAGTGCAAGTATGAGTAGTGAGGGGGTTGAAGAGGGTTGGAATAGTTTTAAAAATGCAGTATTAAAATGTGGGGCAGAAGTTTGTGGCTATAGGAGGGTGGATGCAGGAGGAAAGAGGAGTGATTGGTGGAATGATGAAGTAAAGGGTGTGATAAAAAAGAAAAAGGTAGCTTATGAGAGGATTTTACTAAGCAGAAGTGTTATAAGAAGAGCAGAGTATATGGAGAGTAAAATAAAGGTGAAGAGAGTGGTGAGAGAGTGCAAAAGGAGAGCAGATGATAGAGTGGGAGAAGCACTGTCAAGAAATTTTAAGAAAAATGAGAAAAATTTTTGGAGTGAGTTAAACAAGTTAAGAAAGCCTAGGGAGCGAATGGATTTGTCAGTTAAAAACAGAGTAGGGGAGTTAGTAGATGGGATGATGGAGGTACTGGATAGATGCCAGGAATATTTTGAAGAACTTTTAAATGTTGATGAAGAAAGGGAGGCGGTAATTTCATGCAGTGGCCAGGGAGATATACCACCTTTCAGGAGTGAAGAAGAGCAGGATGTGAGCGTGGGGGAGGTGCGTGAGGCATTACGTAGAATGAAAGGAGGTAAAGCAGCTGGAACTGACAGGATCATGACAGAAATGTTAAAAGCAGGTGGAGATATAGTATTGGGGTGGTTGGAAATTAGGAGGGTGGAAATTAGGAGAAGGTGTGGAGTTAATAAAAGTATTAGTCAGAGGGCTGAAGAGGGTTTGTTGAGGTGGTTTGGTCATTTACAGATAATGGATCAAAGTAGAATGACATGGAGAGCGTATAAATCTGTAGGAGAAGGAAGGTGGGGTAGGGGTCATCCTCGAAAAGGTTGGAGGGAGGGGGTAAAGGAGGTGTTGTGGGCGAAGGGTTTGGACTTCCAGCAAGCGTGCGTGAGCATGTTAGATAGGAGTGAATGGAGACAAATGGTATTTGGGACCTGACAAGCTGTTGGAGTGTGATCAGGGTAATATTTAGTGAAGGGATTCAGGGAAACCGGCTATTTTATATAACCGGACTTGAGTCCTGGAAATGGGAAATACAATGCCTGCACTCTAAAGGAGGGGTTTGGGATATTGGCAGTTTGGAGGGATATATTGTGTATTTTTATACGTATATACTTCTAAACTGTTGTATTCTGAGCACCTCTGCAAAAACAGTGATTATGTGTGAGTGAGGTGAAAGTGTTGAATGATGGTGAAAGTACTTTCTTTTTGGGGATTTTCTTTCTTTTTGGGTCACCCTGCCTCGGTGGGAGACGGCCGACTTAATGAAAAAAAAAAAAGTTTACTGAGTATACCAGGAAAAGTATACGGTAGGGTTACTATTTAAAGAATTAGAGGTAAGACAGAATGTAGGACTGCAGATGAGCAAGGAGGTTTTAGAGTGGGTAGGGGATGTGTAGATCAAGTGTTTACATTGAAGCATATATGTGAACAGCATTTAGATAAAGGTAGGGTAGTTTTCACTGCATTTATGGATTTAGAAAAGACATAAACACGCTAGATAACAGGGATATCTTGCTACTCCTACTTACACTTTAGTCACACTTCACAGACACGCACATGCATATATATATACATACATCTAGGTTTTTCTCCTTTTTCTAAATAGCTCTTGTTCTTCTTTATTTCTTCTATTGTCCATGGGGAAGTGGAAAAGAATCTTTCCTCCATAAGCCATGCGTGTCGTATCAGGCGACTAAAATGCCGGGAGCAATGGGCTAGTAACCCCTTCTCCTGTAGACATTTACTAAAAAAGAGAAGAAGAAAAACTTTTTTAAAACTGGGATGTTTAAATGTGGTTTGGATGTAGTGCGGATGACAAGAAACAGATGTTTGCTGATGTTATGAATGAAGAAGTTGGATGTCCTGGCCCTAAGCGAAACAAAGCTGAAGGGGGTAGGGGAGTTTCAGTGGGGGGAAATAAATGGGTTTAAAATTTCTGGGTTCTGAGAGAGTTAGAGCAAAGGAAGGGGGTAGCAGTAATGTTGAATGATCAGTTATGGAAGGAGGGAAAAGAGAATATGAATGTGTAAATTCAAGAATTATGTGGATTAAAGAAAAGGTTGGATGCGAGAAAGTGGGTCATAATAAGCGTGTATGACCTGGAGAAGAGAGGAATGCGAGGAGAGAGAGAGATTTTGGGAGATGTTAAGTGAATGTATAGGAGCTTTTAAACCCAAGTGAGAGAGTAATTGTGGTAGGGGACCTGAATGCTGAAGTAGGAGAAACTTTTAGAGAGGTGTGGTAGGTAAGTTTGGGGTGCCAGGTTTTAAATGATAATGGGGGGCCCTTTTGGGTTGAACTTTGTATAGAAAGGGGTTTAGTTATAGGTAATACATATTTTAAAAAAAAGAGGATAAATAGTATACAAGATATGATGTAGGGCGAAATGACAGTAGTTTGTTGGATTATGTATTGGTAGATAAAAGAATGTTGAGTAGACTTCAGGATGTACATGTTTATAGAGGGGCCACAGATATTTCAGATCACTTTCTAGTTGTAGCTACACTGACAGTAAAAGGTAGATGGGATAAAGGAGAATAGAAGTATCAGGGAGAGAGAGGTGAAGGTTTATAAACTAAAAGAGGAGGCAGTTAGGGGAAGATATAAACAGCTATTGGGGATAGATGGGCTAATGAGAGCATAGGCAATGGGGTTTGAAGAGGTATGGGGTAGGTTTAAAAATGTAGTGTTAGAGTGTTCAGCAGAAGTTTGTGGTTACAGGAAAGTGGGTGCGGGAGGGGGAAGAGGAGCGATTGGTGGAATGATGATATAAAGAGAGTAGTAAGGGAGAAAAAGATTAGCATATGAGAAGTTTTTACAAAGTAGAAGTGATGCAAGGAGGGAAGGTATATGGAGAAAAAGAGAGAGGTTAAGAGAGTGGTGAAACAATGTAAAAAAAGAGCAAAAGAGAGAGTGGGTGAGATGTTATCAAAAAATTTTGTTGAAAATAAGAAAAAGTTTTGGAGTGAGATTAACAAGTAAGAAAGCCTAGAGAACAAAGGATTTGTCAGTTAAAAATAGGAGAGGAGAGTTATTAAATGGAGAGTTAGAGGTATTGGGAAGATGGAGGGAATATTTTGAGGAATTGTTAAATGTTGATGAAGATAGGGAAGCTGTGATTTCGTGTATAGGACAGGAGGAATACATCTTGTAGGAGTGAGGAAGAGCCAGTTGTGAGTGTGGGGGAAGTTCGTGAGGCAGTAGGTAAAATGAAAGGGGGTAAGGCAGCTGGGATTGATGGGATAAAGATAGAAATGTTAAAAGCAGGTGGGGATATAGTTTTGGAGTGGTTGGTGCAATTGTTTAATAAATGTATGGAAGAGGGTAAGGTACCTAGGGATTGGCAGAGAGCATGCATAGTTCCTTTGTATAAAGGCAAAGGGGATAAAAGAGAGTGCAAAAATTATAGGGGGATAAGTCTGCTGAGTCCTCCATGGGGAAGTGGAACAGAATTCTTCCTCCGTAAGCCATGCGTGTTGTAAGAGGCGACTAAAATGCCGGGAGCAAGGAGCTAGTAACCCCTTCTCCTGTATATATTACTAAATGTAAAAGGAGAAACTTTCGTTTTTCCTTTTGGGCCACCCCGCCTCGGTGGGATACGGCCGGTGTGTTGAAAGAAAGAAAGAAGTCTGCTGAGTATACCTGGTAAAGTGTATGGTAGAGTTATTATTGAAAGAATTAAGAGTAAGACGGAGAATAGGATAGCAGATGAACAAGGAGGCTTTAGGAAAGGTAGGGGGTGTGTGTGGACCAGGTGTTTACAGTGAAACATATAATGTGAACAGTATTTAGATAAGGCTATAAAGAGGTCTTTGTGGCATTTATGGATTTGGAAAAGGCGTTATGACAGGGTGGATAGGGGGGCAATGTGGCAGATGTTGCAAGTGTATGGTGTAGGAGGTAGGTTACTGAAGCAGTGAAGAGTTTTTACGAGGATAGTGAGGCTCAAATTAGAGTATGTAGGAAAGAGGGAAATTTTTCCCAGTAAAGTAGGCCTTAGACAAGGATGTGTGATGTCACCGTGGTTGTTTAATATATTTATAGATGGGGTTGTAAGAGAAGTAATGCGAGGGTCTTGGCAAGAGGCGTGGAGTTAAAAGATAAAGAATCACACACAAAGTGGGAGTTGTCACAGCTGCTCTTTGCTGATGACACTGTGCTCTTGGGAGATTCTGAAGAGAAGTTGCAGAGATTGGTGGATGAATTGGTAGGGTGTGCAAAGAAGAAAATTAAAGGTGAATACAGGAAAGAGTAAGGTTATGAGGATAACAAAAAGATTAGGTGATGAAAGATTGAATATCAGATTGGAGGGAGAGAGTATGGAGGAGGTGAATGTATTCAGATATTTGGGAGTGGAGTGTCAGCGGATGGGTCTATGAAAGATGAGGTGAATCATAGAATTGATGAGGGGAAAAGAGTGAGTGGTGCACTTAGGAGTCTGTGGAGACAAAGAACTTTGTCCTTGGAGGCAAAGAGGGGAATGTATGAGAGTATAGTTTTACCAACGCTCTTATATGGGTGTGAGGCATGGGTGATGAATGTTGCAGCGAGGAGAAGGCTGGAGGCAGTGGAGATGTCATGTCTGAGGGCAATGTGTGGTGTGAATATAATGCAGAGAATTCATAGTTTGGAAGTTAGGAGGACGTGCGGGATTACCAAAACTGTGTCAGAGGGCTGAGGAAGGTTGTTGAGGTGGTTCGGACATGTAGAGAGGAATGGAGCGAAACAGAATGACTTCAAGAGTGTATCAGTCTGTAGTGGAAGGAAGGGGGGTAGGGGTCGGCCTAGGAAAGGTTGGAGAGAGGGGGTAAAGGAGGTTTTGTGTGCGAGGGGCTTGGACTTCCAGCAGGCATGCGTGAGCGTGTTTGATAGGAGTGAATGGAGACAAACGGTTTTTAATACTTGACGTGCTGTTGGAGTGTGAGCAAAGTAACATTTATGAAGGGGTTCAGGGAAACCGGCAGGCCGGACTTGAGTCCTGGAGATGGGAAGTACAGTGCCTGCACTCTGAAGGAGGGGTGTTAATGTTGCAGTTTAAAAACTGTAGTGTAAAGCACCCTTCTGGCAAGACAGTGATGGAGTGAATGATGGTGAAAGTTTTTCTTTTTCAGGCCACCCTGCCTTGGTGGGAATCGGCCAGTGTGATAATAATAAAAAAAATAATATGATAGAGTGGATAGGGGAGCAATAAGGCAGATGTTGCAAGTATATGGAATAGGTGGTAAGTTACTAAATGCTATAAAGAGTTTTTATGAGGATAGTGAGGCTCAGATTAGGGTGTGTAGAAGAGAGGGAGACTACTTCCCGGTAAAAGTAGGTCTTAGACAGGGATGTATAATGTCAACATGGTTGTTTAATATATTTATAGATGGGGTTGTAAAAGAAGTAAATGCTAGGGTGTTCGGGAGAGGGGTGGGATTAAATTAAGGGGAATCAAATACAAAATCTGAATTGACACAGTTACCTTTTGCTGATGATACTGTGCTTATTGGAGATTCTAAAGAAAAATTGCAAAGGTTAGTGGACGAGTTTGGGAGTGTGTGTAAAGGGAGAAAATTGAAAGTGAACATAGAAAAGAGTAAGGTGATGAAGGTATCAAATGATTTAGATAAAGAAAAATTGGATATGAAATTGGAGAGGAGTATGGAAGAAGTGAATGTTTCCAGATATTTGGAAGTTGATGCATCAGCCGATGGATTTATGAAGGATGAAGTTAACCATAGAATTAAGGAAAAAAGGTGAGTTGTGTGTTCAGGTATATATGGAGACAAAAAAATGTTATCTATGGAGGCAAAGAAGGAAATGTATGAAAGTATAGTGGTACCAACACTCTTATATGGGTGTGAAGCTTGGGTTGTAAATGCTGCAGCGAAGAGATGGTTGGAGGCAGTGGAGATGTCCTGTCTAAGGGCAATGTGTGGTGTAAATATTATGCAGAAAATTCAGAGTGTGGAAATTAGGAGAAGGTGTGGAGTTAATAAAAGTATTAGTCAGAGGGCTGAAGAGGGGTTGTTGAGGTGGTTTGGTCAGTTAGAGAGAATGGATCAAAGTAAAATGACATGGAGAGCGTTTAAATCCATAGGGGAAGGAAGGTGGGGTAGGGGTTGTCCTTGAGAAGGTTGGAGGGAGGGGGTAAAGGAGGTTGTGTGGGCAAAGGGTTTAGACTTCAAGTAAGCGTGCATGAGGCGTGTTAGATAGGAGTGAATGGAGACAAAATGGTTTTTGGGAAACCCTGACGAGGTGTTGGAGTGTGAGCAGGGTAATTTTTAGTGAAGGGATTCAGGGAAACCGGTTATTTTTATATAGCCGGACTTGAGTACTGGAAATGGGAAGCACAATGCCTGTACTTTAAAGGAGGGTTTGGGATATTGGCAGTTTGGAGGGATATGTTGTACATCTTTTTAAGTATATACTTCTAAACTGTTGTATTCTGAGCACCTCTGCAAAAACAGTGATTATGTATGAGTGATGGTGAAAGTGTTGAATGATGATGAAAGTGTTTTCTTTTTGGGTCACCCTGTCTCGGTGGGAGATGGCCGACTTGTTAAAAAAAAAAAAAAAATTTCACGTAATGGTGTTTATAATACGTACATGAATCCCTCAAAATCTTTAAGTGCGAGGAAAAGACATCAGAAAGTTCACTATTTACAAGCAAACCAAGAGGAGATACTGTACAGACAAATGCGAAGAGACAATCTATGACTGTTTATTGAATTATGAAATCGTAATAACATGATTAAAAATAAACCATAGTACAGGTGGGGTTAGAACCCATGGCAAGTGAATCGTAAAACTCCAGGCCAGTGCAAAAGCCACTGGGCGAGCTGGATACAATAAGATTCATCCAACTAGGTATATTTATACACCATAGGGAGATCAGCATGGGCCCCAGTGTGACCACAAATGCAAGTTTTTACAGATGAATCTCCTGCCAGCATCACGTGTAGATGTAAGTCAAAGAAAATCAGTGTCTTACCTTTCCCACCTTTTTTAATACCAACAGTTTCCACCAGTCTCAAGATTGAATTGATTGCTTCCTTCCTTGTCTGTGCCCAATTTTCTGTTCCAGGTGTTATTTCTGTAGCATTAATTAGGGCTTTTAGCACAATGTCAAATTTACCTACTACCAGAACACGTGTAAGGCAACCTGGAAAGTAGAGTATGTTTACACTAATTTACATATCTCTCATTAATAGAAGGTAACTATTTTACATCAAAACAAAATTTTATAGTGATGGGATTTTACTGATCAATCAATCTAAGGAAGGATAAGAATAAAAATGAAACGTTAAGGACTAACTCTACATGAACTACGGCAGTGGAATCTAGAATAGTAATTACCTGTTTGAGCTTGCAGGGATGGAGGAGGATGAACTCTAGCTACTGACCCCCATCTCTTACTTTTGACTTAGTGATGTAATTGAGCCCTGTCATAATTATTTTTGTAACCCTGTAGCATTCGCTTATATAATGCAGGGCACATTGAGTAGTGCAAAGCACGTGGTGAGTGGTGGTGGCGTTTCTCATTCTTACATAACTCATACATTGCAAAATAGAGCAACTCGGGCTCGTCTGCACAGAAGATTTCCAATGTGTAGGTATCTCCAATTAACTCTAGCAGAATACAATGCTACATGTCTTTGTTTGTTTGATAAATACTGTATGTAGTTGACAGAGCAATCCAGGTGCATAGTTGCCAAATCTCCCAACTACATATATCATAAAAAAAACTAACCCACTTTCATCTACTGTATATTAAAATATACTGTGTATAGGAATTTTCTCCAATTATTTTCATTTAAACACAGTGCTGCATGCCTTTGTTTGGTGCTAAGTATTATTCATAGTTGGCCACAACTGTCTCTTGGGCAGCCCATAAAAATACTAAAAGCAGACACACAACATCAACCATCTTAAGCCACCCTAAGTGATTCAGCAATATGAAATATCTGTTCAACAAGGTTTAGGCTCATTATGAGAAGCTTTGTATAAAACTGTCTTAAGTTCAACAAGGTGTTATTCAATAGGGATCCATTCAATGCTCACTTTTAGTATTTACAATTACAGCAACCATAATAATAAATATTATAGGTAGCTTCTTTTTTCTTTTTTTTTTTTTTTTTTTTTGCTATTCGGGTATTTAAAATTTCAAGTCAATGCATATTAAGTTTATCAATATACTGAATGAATGATGGTGAATGAGTTTTCTTCAGTTTGGGTCACTATTTTAATGGGAAACAACTAATATAATAATAAAATAAACTCAATATTTAGATTATATACTAGGAAATACTAACTAGTGAATGTGAGAAATAACTTAGTGATATTCCTTTTTTTTTTTTGCAACATAAGGGACAATTACCCCTCACAAAAACAGAGTTGTAAAAATTGTCATCAGGACTATGCTTCTCTATAAGGTTAACCTTTAAACCAGTGAAAGGAAGCATTCTAAACTTATCCTTCAGAAACTTGATTGTCTTTTTTGCTTCATTAATCTGGGTAAGAGCAAACAGCATCAGCTCAAACAAAACACCAATAATAAAAGCATTAATTACGAAAAATAATTATTCTTACCAAGTGCTGCTGCAAAGCCTAAACTATGTATCTCCTTAGTTGTGTTAAGTGCTTGAGTGTATCTTGTGACGAGTTCATCTCTCCATTTTTGTCTTTCTTCTGATGTGGGTTCAAAGTATGTGGCCCAAAATGGAGAGAGCGCCTCCAAAGCAGATGTACGGATATTTTCATCAATGTAAACTATACAGTCTTCTAAAAGATTATGCCAATAATCTGGAAAAACAAAAACTGATTAAGCTATCTATTATGTTAGAAATGTACATATAATGCTCTAATCATATAGTAGTAGCCAAACTAAAGTAAATAAAAATAAAAATCTATTTATAAAAAACTCCTACTCATATCAGATATACAGTATGAGAAAAAATTTAGTAATAATGAGACAATGTTGTAATTAACTCTTTCACTGTCTTGTATCTATGTCTACGTCAATGCTTTAAGTGTGCTGTGTGTGAGTGGTAAATTTTGGCCTAGACATCAGAGAATTTGAGATGTTTTCTAGGGTGGTTTTTATGGGTTTTTTTGACTGCTTGTTAGTATTAAATGTTAGAATGGAAGATATAGTACCAAAGCAGAGATGATTTTGGTTGGTCTCATTTTTTTTTTTTCAACAAGTCGGCCGTCTCCCACCGAGGCAGGGTGACCCAAAAAAGAAAGAAAATCCCCAAAACGAAAATACTTTCATCATCATTCAACACTTTCACCTCACTCACACATAATCACTGTTTTTGCAGAGGTGCCCAGAATACAACAGCTTAGAAGTATATACGTATAAAGATACACAACATATCCCTCCAAACTGCTAATATCCCAAACCCCTCCTTTAGAGTGCAGGCATTGTACTTCCCATTTCCAGGACTCAAGTCCGGTTATATAAAATAACCGGTTTCCATGAATCCCTTCACTAAATATTACCCTGCTCACACTCCAACAGCTCATCAGGTCCCAAATACCATTTGTCTCCATTCACTCCTAACAAATATGATCACGCACACTTGCTGGAAGTCCAAACCCCTCGCCCACAGCACCTCCTTTACCCCCTCCCTCCAACCTTTTCGAGGACGACCCCTACCCCGCCTTCCTTTCCCTTCTTTGATCCATTCTCTCTAAATGACCAAACCACCTCAACAAACCCTCTTCAGCCCTCTGACTAATACTTTTATAAACTCCACACCTTCTCCTAATTTCCACACTCCGAATTTTCTCCATAATATTTACACCACACATTGGCCTTAGACAGGACATCTCCACTGCCTCCAACCGTCTCCTCGCTGCAGCATTTACCACCCAAGCTTCACACCCATATAAGAGTGTTGGTACAACTATACTTTCATACATTCCCTTCTTTGCCTCCATAGATAACATTTTTTGCCTCCACATATACCTCAATGCACCACTCACCCTTTTTCCTTCATCAATTCTATGATTAACCTCATCCTTCATAAATCCATCCGCTGACACGTCAACTCCCAAATATCTTAAAACATTCACTTCTTCCATACTCCTCCTCCCCAATTTGATATCCAATTTTTCTTTATCTAAATCATTTGATACTCTCATCACCTTACTCTTTTCTATGTTCACTTTCAACTTTCTACCTTTACACACATTCCCAAATTTGTCCACTAACCTTTGCAATTTTTCTTGGTCTCATATTGGAAGTATTTTAAAATAGGGAAGAAATATTAAATTTTTGACAATTTTCCTGAGGAAGGGGAGGAGCCTCTAGCCCCCTCTGATTGGTTTTATGGGTTTTTATTAAGTCCGCTTCAATTACTGTCATGGCCTAAAACCATGATCAATCATTGCTGGTTATATTATATTAAAAAAAGATGTTAAATTTTTATATTTTGTGTGACGATAGATTCAAAATGGAGGGAAATGCTTTATAGGAGAGGTTTGGGGATATGAGTAATGAAAAGAAAACATACTGCTCTGTTGGCTGGAATGCCTAATGTTTATATATAAGCTTTTTTTAAATTTTGTGTAAAATTTATTAAATTACAAATTTCTGTGCATATTATAGGGAAGTTCTGATAGTTGAATGGACAGTTTCTTGTACTCACTTAATTAAATAGAGGGCATACTTGTGAAATATCTAGGAATTGCATCAATTTGAGCATTAGAATTGGCTTAAAATACTACTCAAAATGGGTGAAATCACCAATACATAAATTGCTCCTAGACTGCCAACTTTGTGCCTGTAAGTTTTCCACTAAATTTCACATTTTTTGGTGTCACTACCTTCAGAAAAAGATTCTCTGCCACTTCAGAAGAATTTTTTTTAAATCGCAACACCGTCAGCACTTTTATTTCGGTGGTTGCAACAGTGAAAAGGTTCAACATTTAGTGAAAATTTAAGGTGATCCAGGATATATTATATTAACAAGAATTTAATCAAGAATTTAACAAGAATTAATCATAGAATTGATGAGGGAAAAAAGGTGAGTGGTGCGTTGAGGTATATGTGGAGTCAAAAAACGTTATCTATGGAGGCAAAGAAGGGAATGTATGAAAGTATAGTAGTACCAACACTCTTATATGGATGTGAAGCTTGGGTGGTAAATGCAGCAGCGAGGAGACGGTTGGAGGCAGTGGAGATGTCCTGTCTAAGGGCAATGTGTGGTGTAAATATTATGCAGAAAATTCGGAGTGTGGAAATTAGGAGAAGGTGTGGAGTTAATAAAAGCATTAGTCAGAGGGCAGAAGAGGGGTTGTTGAGGTGGTTTGGTCATTTAGAGAGAATGGATCAAAGTAGAATGACATAGAAAGCATATAAATCTATAGGGGAAGGAAAGAGGGGTAGGGGTCGTCCTCGAAAGGGTTGGAAAGAGGGGGTAAAGGAGGTTTTGTGGGTGAGGGGCTTGGACTTCCAGCAAGCGTGCATGAGCGTGTTAGATAGGAGTGAATGGAGACGAATGATACTTGGGACCTGACGATCTGTTGGAGTGTGAGCAGGGTAATATTTAGTGAAGGGATTCAGGGAAACCGGTTATTTTCATATAGTCGGACTTGAGTCCTGGAAATGGGAAGTACAATGCCTGCACTTTAAAGGAGGGGTTTGGGATATTGGCAGTTTGGAGGGATATGTTGTGTATCTCTATACGTATATGCTTCTAAGCTGTTGTATTCTGAGCACCTCTGCAAAAGCAGTGATAATGTGTGAGTGTGGTGAAAGTGTTGAATGATGATGAAAGTATTTTCTTTTTGGGGATTTTCTTTCTTTTTTTTTGGGTCACCCTGCCTCGGTGGGAGACGACCGACTTGTTGAAAAAAAAAAAAAAAAAAAAAAAAAAAAAAAAAAAACAAGAATTTATCTGTCTCTTTTTATTTTTTTACTCAATGACCATCTCTTGCCAGAAATTCACTACAAGGAGTATTTAACACAACAGAAAAGTCATGGGTTCAGTCCTCCCCTTCATCTAGAAGTCACTGTTGTTGGATGCATCACGAGAAAAAAATTTCAAATGGAAATAATAATAATAGACATGACACCATAAGCATTGCTCTTCTTATGTAGCTACAAATAGGTGATCACAAATGAAAGTTACTGGGAATGCAAAAGCCATGAATCTTATGGGTATCTTTATTCAACAAGACTTCTAGCAAATCAAAACCTCTACAATAGCTGGCCTTGGGTTCTTCCTTATTAAAAGGGAGGATTGGTGTGTTATGTTATTAAAGAGCACCAGAAAAGATAGTTAAATTGCAAAAGAGGCAAGGCTTTGTTCAATATCATGAGTTGGTTCAAAAAAATCTTTTCAAAGTAGTACCACTGAATGAAGTCTATTTTCTTACTAAATCTCTATTAGTTCAGCAGAAAAATATTTGACTCAGACAACAGAGAACTATTTGACTTAAAATATAGAGTGCATCAAATGGTCTATATTACACAACATACTACTAGGTGTATTGTATAACACTGTACCGTCAAATGAGTTCTAAATGATGAGTGTTAGGGTTCTCAGGAAAAATGTATAAGAATGTGGTGTATGGCAAAGGATAGCAGGCACGTTTAATAATAGCATTTCATCTGTCTCATACAATGGCTGGGAATATTGAAATGTATTGTCCTAAGTTCAATGAGGCACCATTTAATGGGGCTCCACTTATTTTAACTTTCTCATATTAAGGACAGGCAATCTCAACAATGGTGATATACAGATTACTCCATACTATCCACTGCTATGCACAAATAAGTACTATGTAATCACACATGAACAGTGTGAGAAACTGATGCCTCTGGTATACATATTTGCAAAAGGATATCAGAGAGCATTTTTAACAAGCGAGACTTAAAGGCCCCTTACCAAGTACTTTGTGGCCATGAAATGGTGCTGCAGCCAGAGAACACTTTTCTATCATCACTGATGTTGCCTGCTTCATGTACTCTCCTCCCATTCCACGAAAAAGCTTTCTTTCTTCTAACGTAGGTACTATCTTAGCAATGCCATCCAATATCTCTTGACCTGTTAATGGTTAAAATTTTGCTTTAGGCTGTCACTAAATAAAATAGATGTAAACAGATATAAAAAAAAGTGCAAGAATTCAATGCACTTTGAAGTGAATCCTTTCAAATGCTTTCTTTCCCATTTCCTATCAGTGGAAAAACTTCAATCGTTAATATTTAAAAAAAGTTATGTAGCCAGAGAAATAAATTTAACAAGATGAAATATAACTGATGTCGGTGTAACTAGGGGAACTCCAAGAGCTTAGCTCTGAACATTTTATGCAAAATAACTTTACATATTTCATCACTGCCATGAATATTTTTTATATGTTCATAAAGCCCAATGTAATGCCAAAAAGTATAAAATTCTTAACTCTCAATGTGATTTTATGCCAATTCAGAGTTAAATCTATAGACGAAACATTTCAAAAGTGATACATACCCAAGATGTCTTTCAGAGATTTGCCTTCCTTACTAGCCACAAGAGAGAGAGCAAGTGTGATATTTGCCAGTGCTAATATAGAGCCATGTCTTGTGACTAAGATTGAGCCTGTGGACTGATCCAGTAGCTGTGGTGCAACTGTCTTACTCATATACTCAGGGGCCAAAGGAGTTAAATTATGAAGTGCCTGAAACATACATATTTTCTTACATACAAGTTTACATATCAGAACCAATTAACCTATACAACGGTACTTTGACTTACGAGTTTAATTTGTTCCATGACCAAGCTCATAACTCAATTTGCTCATATGTCACATCAATTTTCCTCACTGAAATTAATTGAAATGCTATTAATCCATTCCAGCGGAATTCCTGGCTTTCAGGAGGCAGGTGAAAATACTTTAATATAACGCTAATATCAACTCTACGGCTTAATTATCTATCACAATTGATCTAATATGACATAATAAACAACATAAATAACATAGAAACATGATATATACTCTAGAATGAATAAAATATGTCATTGTGTGATGAGTGGTGGTGGCCACTCCCGAGGTAAAAATAATTATTGCTTTAACCATATCTTCCCATTCTTGCCCTTCTGAGTTCTTGTTATAAGAGAAAATGGAGTGTTTGTGAGGCTAACTACACTAGATCACTAGTTTCATATGGAAAACGCTGAAACAAAAGCAATTTTCTTATGTTTTTCTATGATTTCATGCTTTAATTCAATGGGCATCCTCCTCCTCTCAGCACTGTCCTTTGCATTTACTTTCTTAGGACCCATGGTTAGAAAAAAGAAATTTGGCAAAATAATGGCATAAAAAGCACAAAATGCTGGGATGCTGGGCAGATGTTGTGGCATTCACTGCGCCAACTAGTGGAGACATATCTGAAGCTCACTCGTAACTCAGATTTTGACCCACAATTCAAAGCAAAAAATTGATCAAGCGATGGCTCGTAACTTGGAAAACTCGTAAGTTGGGGCACTCGTAAGTCAAGGTACCACTGTATTATCAATGATAATTACAAAATTTTGCAACTCCACCTTACAGTCAGGAGCAGAGAAGGTGCATACTAGCAACTTACTGCTACATTCACTGCATTTGCCCCTTAAATTTGTTAAGTTTTCATTCTGTTATAAGCTCATTTTAAAAATTTAAAAAATAATGACAAAACCTTCATGACAAAAAACTAATTATAAAATGCAATACTCTCTTCAACAATATTCACCTTAGCAGCAAGTTCCCTTATAGCAGAGTCCCAGTGGTTGACCTTCTTGTCAACCAAGTGGTCTATGAGAGCTTGTGTATATTCTGGGTACCTGAAATATACAAATCAATCCAGTCAAAAATACATGAGATAAGTTTATGAGTTTCCATTAATCTTTTGTACAGAAGCTCATTCATACCTAAGTATGGATTTATCTCACTCATTACCAGTAAGCATGAGTGAAAGCATTTTATAAAATAGAAGTATATAGTACGGTACAGTAGATCCCCCCACTTATGACATTAATGCATTCCTAAAAATTATTCTTAAGTTGAATGTCCAGAACAAGGAACCCATTTTCCCATAGACACACACACACACACACACAATACTCAGAGATGTATTCCTGAGTTACAATAATCCTTATATATAATATTTATAAACAAAATTATAAACACAAAATTAAAAGTAATGTACAATATTCAGAAGGGTCCCTCTCTCCCTTTTCCTTAACCTTCTTCCATTCCCCCTCTCCTATTCTCTTACCTATCTCCCTCTCTTGCATTTTCTCTCTCTCTACCATCATACCTCACAACATTTTACATGTGCTCGCCACCCCTTCCTTCCTTACTATATTTCAAACCCACACTATTCCCCATCCCTCTTACTGTACTCCAGTAAAACATACTTCACCCCTACACTGACCTAGATAATGTACAGAGAACCTTCACGGCGCGCATAACAGAGATAAAACACCTCAATTACTGGGAGCGCTTGAGGTTCCTGAACCTGTATTCCCTGGAATGCAGGCGGGAGAGATACATGATTATATACACCTGGAAAATCCTAGAGGGACTAGTACCGAACTTGCACACGAAAATCACTCACTACGAAAGCAAAAGACTTGGCAGACGATGCAACATCCCCCCAATGAAAAGCAGGGGTGTCACTAGCACGTTAAGAGACCATACAATAAGTGTCAGGGGCCCGAGACTGTTCAACTGCCTCCCAGCATACATAAGGGGGATTACCAACAGACCCCTGGCAGTCTTCAAGCTGGCACTGGACAAGCACCTAAAGTCGGTTCCTGACCAGCCGGGCTGTGGCTCGTACGTTGGTTTGCGTGCAGCCAGCAGCAACAGCCTGGTTGATCAGGCTCTGATCCACCAGGAGGCCTGGTCACAGACCGGGCCGCGGGGGTGTTGACCCCCAAAACTCTCTCCAGGTAAACTCCAGGTAAACACTGTGCCCCAACACTCACATCACCTCCACACTAAACTTCAACCCTTCAATGTACTATGCTCCCACACACAACTTCACATTATTCTCCATCTCAATAATGTACAATACTATGTCCCACCACCCCACCAACACTGTACTCCACCCTCCACAATGTACTATACCCACCACAACACACCCTGTGATATATCTGACAGTTTCAAAAGATTTTCTACCCTTGCAGCCCAGCCTAGGGCCAACCTTTTCCGTTGACTGCCTGTTCAACCAGGCTGCTGCTGTTGGCAACCCACTGGCACACACATCCATTACAGCCTGGTTGATCTGGCACTTGGCAGAGGCAGTGATCCAGTTTCCTCTCAAAAACTTTTACATTTGTTTCTGCAATGCTCCTGATATCAGCTGGTAGCAGGCTGAATAGTCTTGGACTACTGGGAATTACAGTGGAATACAATTGGGTAAAATAATGAACAGGCTAACAATTTAAAATGTGTATAAATCTGTAGTGCCTGTAATTGTTTTACATGATGGTAGGATTGCTGGTGTCCTTTTTTTCTGTCTCATGAACATGCAAAATTTCGGGTATGTCTTGCTACTTCTACTTACACTTAGGTCACACTACACATACATGTACAAGCATAAATATACACACACCCCTCTGGGTTTTCTGCTATTTTCTTTCTAGTTCTTGTTCTTGTTTATTTCCTCTTATCTCCATGGGGAAGTGGAACAGAATTCTTCCTCCATAAGCCATGCGTGTCGTAAGAGGCGACTAAAATGCCGGGAGCAAGGGGCTAGTAACCCCTTCTCCTGTATACATTACTAAATGTAAAAGGAGAAACTTTCGTTTCTCCTTTTGGGCCACCCCGCCTCGGTGGGATACGGCCGGTGTGTTGAAAGAAAGAAAGAAATCTGTAGTGAAAGGAAGGTGGGGTAGGGGTCAACCTAGGAAAAGTTAGAGAGGGATGGGGTAAACGTGGGTTTGTGTGGGAGGGGCTTGGACTTCCAGCAAGCATGTGTGAGCGTGTTAGGTAGGAGCAAGTGAAGACAAATTGTTTATATGTCTTAATGTGATGTTGGAGTGTAAGCAAAGTAGCATTTATGAAGAGATTCAGAGAAACCAGCAAGCCGGACCTGAGTCCTGGAGGTGGGAGGTACAGTGTCTGTGCTTTGAAGGAGGGGTGTTGATATATTGCAGTTTTTTTAACTGTAGTGTAGGCACCTCCCTGGCAGGACAGTGATGGAGTGAATAATGATGAAGGTGTTTCTCCTTTTTCAGGTCACCCTGCCTTCGTGGGAAATGGTTGGTGTGTTAATAAGAAAAAAAATATTTTCATAGAAATTAGATTTTGTTACTGCAAAGTATTTTTATGGCCCATGAAATTGTAACAATATGATTGTAAACAAATCACAGAATGGATGGGGCTCAAACCCATAGAGTATAAAAATATACCTAGTCAGATGAATGTTAATAGAACTGGTTGGCTCAGTGGTTAATACAATGACCCAGGAGTTTTTACGATTCCCCTGCCATGGGTTCAAGCCCCACCCATTCTGTGAATTGTATGGCCATCAGATGAATTATTACATTAAGAACAAGATATAATTTTTGATAATGTCTCTGAAACTATTTAGAGCTAAAAAGTTTTAAGACTCTTCAACAGGATGTATCAAATTTTTGGTCCTTTGATTTTCATTTAGTCTTTACTCAGGTTAAGCCATACACATGGGACATCAAAAAGGTATTTATTTCTGGTGTTGTTTGTGTGTTATGTTACAATTAACTGGGCAGTATTTAACCCTTTGACTGTTTTCGACGTATAAATACGTCTTACGAGCCAATGTTTCTGACGTATATATACTCAATAATTCTAGCGGCTTCAAATCAAGTGGGAGAAAGCTGGTAGGCCCACATGTGAGAGAATGGGTCTGTGTGGTCAGTGTGCACCACATAAAAAAAATCCTGCAGCACACATTGCGTAATGAGAAAAAAAAAACTCTGATCGTTTTTTTGGAATAAAACGCCGACTTTGAGGTGTATTTTCGTATAGTATTTATCGTTGTATTCGCGTTTTCATGGTCTTAGGTGATAAAATGGAAAACATATTACAGAAATAGAGATGATTTTCATTACTTTTACGATGAAAACGACCTTGAAACTGAGCTCAAAGTAGCGGAAATGTTCGATTTTTACCAATGTTCAAGAGTACATAAATCACACCACACGTCCAATACACGTCAACTGGGGAGTCTAATATTCTTTCACTAGTGCACTGATATTATTTATACCATTTTTACAATAATGCAGTCGTCTGCATAACAGTAAATTTTGTATTTTTTTGTATGAATAAAAAATCAAAATAGAAAGCAATAATAATATAAGAGGGGCCTAGAGATGTGACTAATGAACAGAGCATATGTTATTTTAGTGCCACGAATGTCTACCTTGTTTATTCTGGACCCTATTTTGAAATTGGCATCTTTTTTATTTTGCGTGAAATTGGCCAAATTGCCAATTTCTGACCACCATATTGGGTAGTCCAAATTAGTAAATGGGTTTCTTGTACTCAGCTGATAGATAAAATGGAGTTCTAAAGAAATAGCTATGAGTTTGGTCAACTGGAACAATGGAATTGGCTGAAAATTGGGCTCAAAGTCGGCGAAATCGCCGATACGCATATGTCGCCGAGACCGCTAACTTCGCGGGAGCATAATTCCACGAGTTTTCGACCAAATTTCGAACTTTTGGTGTCATTACCATCGGGAAAAGATTCTCTATCATTTCATAAGAAAAAATAATTTTTTTTTTTTTCAAAAATTGAGCGACATAGAATGACAGTTTCAGAGAGGGGCCTGAAACAGTCAAAGGGTTAAACTCTGTATATGTAATTTGCACAGGAGTAAGCATAGATACTCTGTACATTAATTAGATTGGTTGTCTTTGTCTCTGTCTGAGATCAGCTTGAGTGATTATTCTAACGGTAGATTTCTGTTGTGTTATTTTTTTAGATGATTATCTGTTGTAAATCGGTCCTGGGTCACCACATGGAAAAGACCCAAGCCAGGACCAATCCTAGTGAACCTACGCGTGCTTGTTGCAAATCCCCATGTACAGATTCCACAAGCAAGATAAGGATAGATTAAAGTATAGTACAAAGTAGTACATATTCATTCTGGTACAGATTAGCATACACTGGAAAGAATGGCCACTTTCTAAGATAAGCGATGGATGTGACTGCTAAAGTTAAGCTTGCTGTTCATATGAATTCTCAAAAATTTTGCTTCTTCCTGGTTTTCAATGTGTGAATTATTTATAATTTTTTTTTAACAAAGTGTCCATATCCCACCGAAGTAGGGTGGCCCAAAAAAGAAATAAAAACGCAGTGTTAGTGCATTCAATATCTAGTGAGATATATGCAAAAAAACCTAACATAGTTTATAACATACACACTACTATAAAGAGCCTATATGGGTTTCCAGACTATGAAGAAATTAAAATAATGTATTAGGTTACATCTCTAAAGTCACTTACCTCATTTTCCTTTGGCTTAATTGCTTTTTCTGTGCTTCTTAAAAGCCATTTCTTCCTATATAATAGGTTGAAGACACTTTCTATATACTAAAATATTATAAAAACTAAAATACTTCATCATGAAATACCTGCCAACATCAACACTTAGATTGAGAAATGAATTTGAGCGGTTCCCAACAGCAAAGTAGTCAACCATTGTGTGAAGCTTAATGCCATGGGGAAATGTTCCTTGACGTCCAACATGCTCTTGGAAGGCAGCAGATGCAGCCCTCCGGCAAGGAATCTGTCATTAGAAGTATATTCTGTACAGGAGGGTTGCAGTACTAGTGTCAATTTAAAATTTAAATTAATAGTATGATAGTATGACATCACACTGGTAGAGTCCACAATACAGACACAACCAGAACCTGACTCCCAAGATGATAAACAATTTGTACATGAACATAATCTCCAGTATCCTCACATTTTAGCCCTATTTTTCCCATGTTCCTCACTTCAGATAACACTAACATTCATAGGATGCTGATATTTAAGAACTCATACTATGCATTATGAGAAGGTTTAATGTACAGTATATTAAATCACTGGGAAGCACTAAACCCACAGAGGTCATACAGCACTAGGAAATGGGAGGTAATCAGGCTTTATCAAAGTGCTCTTGGTGAAGTGCTCTTGGATCAAGAGCACTTCACCAGCATTGAGGCAAACCCCATCATGAGAGACACTGTACAAGCATCTTGGACCCTCTTTATAAAAGTGAGAATTTCTCTAATACTGTTTTTTTTTTTTTTATTTAACACAGGCCATCTCCCACCGAGGTAGAGTTACTCAAAAAAGAGGAAATACATTCACCATCACTCATTCAATTACTGTCTTGCCAGAAGGGTGCTGACATCACATTTCAGATGTATAATAATACAGTGGACCCCCGCATAATGATATTAATCTGTTCCTGAGAGCTCATTGTTATGCGAAATTATCATTATGCGAATGAATTTTCCCCAAAAGAAATAATGGAAATCAAATTAATCCGTGCAAGACACCCCAAAGTATAAAAAAAAAAAAATTTACCACATGAAATATTAATTTTAATACACACAAACTGAAAAAGGCATGCACAGTTACATGACACTTACCTTTATTGAAGATCTGGTGATGATTGATGGGATGGGAGGAGGAGAGAGTCTTAGTGTTTAGAAGGGGAATCCCCTTCCATTAAGACTTGAGGTGTCAAGTCCTTTTCTGGGGTTACTTCCCTTCTTTTAATGCCACTAGGACCAGCTTCAGAGTCACTGGACTTCTGTCGCACAACATATCTGTCCATAGTGGCCTGTACCTCTCGTTCCTTTATGACTTTCCTAAAGTGTTTCACAACAGTGTCAGTGTAATAGTCACCAGCACGGCTTGCAATAGCTGTGTTAGGGTGATAGTCATCAAAAAAGGTTTGCACTTTAAGCCACATTCCACACATTTCCTTAATCTTTGAAGTAGGCAACTTCTTCAATTTCTCTCTCCCCTCCTCCGAACCAGTTTCCTCAGGTCTGGCCTCTTGCTGTTGAAGTTGATCTAGCAGCTCATCAGTGGTTAGTTCTTCATTGTCCTCCTCCACCAACTCTTCCACATCATCCCCACTAACCTCCAACCCCAAGGACTTTTCAATGCCACAATGGATTCCTCAACTGGCATAGGATTCCCAGGGTTAGCCTCAAACCCTTCAAAATCCCTTTGTCTACACATTCTGGCCACAGTTTCTTCCAAGCAGAGTTCAAGGTCCTCTTAGTCACTCCCTCCCAAGCCTTACCTATAAGGTTTACACAATTGAGGATATTAAAGTGATCTCTCCAAAACTCTCTTAGAGTCAATTGAGTTTCTGAGGTCACTACAAAGCACCTTTCAAACAGAGCTTTTGTGTACAGTTTTTTGAAGTTTGCAATAACCTGCTGGTCCATGGGCTGAAGGAGAGGAGTGGTATTAGGAGGCAAAAACTTCACCTTAATGAAGCTCATGTCCCCATAAAGTCGCTCTGCCACGTCTGTAGGATGACCAGGGGCATTGTCTAACACCAGGAGGCACTTAAGGTCTAATTTCTTTTCAGTTAGGTAATCTTTCACATTGGGGGCAAATGCTTGGTGTAACCAGTCATAGAAAAAATCCCTAGTGACCCATGCCTTACTGTTTGCCCTCCACAGCACACAAATTAGCCTTGAGGATATTCTTTTGCCTGAACGCTCTGGGAATTTCTGAGTGATACACTAATAAAGGCTTCACTTTGCAATCACCACTAGCATTGGAACACATCAACAGAGTAAGCCTGTCTTTCATAGGCATATGTCCTGGGAGTGCCTTTTCCTCCTGAGTAATGTACGTCCTGCTTGGCATTTTCTTCCAAAACAGGCCTGTTTCATCAAAATTAAACACTTGTTCAGGTTTCAGTCCTTCACCGTCTATGTACTCCTTGAATTCCTGCACATATTTTTCAGCTGCTTTGTGGTCCGAACTGGCAGCCTCACCATGCCTTATCACACTATGTATGCCACTACGCTTCTTAAATCTCTCAAACCAACCTTTGCTGGCCTTAAATTCACTCACATCATCACTAGTTGCAGGCATTTTTTTAATTAAATCCTCAAGCAACTTCCTAGCCTTTTCACTTATGATCACTTGAGAGATGCTATCTCCTGCTATCTGTTTTTCATTTATCCATACCAATAAGAGTCTCTCAACATCTTCCATCACTTGCAATCTCTGTTTCGAAAACACAGTTGAACCTTTGGCAAGAACAGCTTCCTTGATTGCCGTTTTGTTGGACACAATAGTAGAGATGGTTGATTGGGATTTACTATACAACCTGGCCAGCTCGGAGACACGCACTCCACTTTCATACTTAGCAATGATCTCTTTCTTCATCTCTATAGTAATTCTCACCCTTATTCCTGTAGGGTTGGCACTAGAAGCTTTCTTGGGGCCCATGGTCACTTATTTTGCAGATAAAATCACCAAAAACACTGTAATAATACGAAATGTTCCGACTGTATGCTTGGATGTTACCGTGGAGGCTGGCTGGTAAACAATGCCACTGGCGGAACATGTGAGGCTGGCTCAGGCCGCACATTAGACGCGTCTCGGACGAATAGCGTTGAGCAGGTTTTTTGGCGGTATGCGAGGCAAAATCTTAGAGATAAATTGTATCGGTATGCGGATTTAACGTTATGTGATGCCAACGGTATGTGAGGGTCCACTGTACTGATTAACCCTTTCAGGGTCCGTGCCATAGATCTACGGCTTTATGTTCCGAGTCCAAACCGTAGATCTACGCCATGACCTCAGCTCACTCTGATAAGCTGTGAGTGGTAAATTAGGGCCTAGATATGAGAGAATACATAAAACAAATCCTGCAGCACACAGTGTATAATAAGAGAAAAACTGAGACTGTGATTTTCGATTAAAACAGCGACTTTGCAGTGTTTTTTCGTATGTTTTTTATAGGTGTATTTGCTATTTCTTGGCCTCATTTGATAGAATGGAAGACATATTACAGAAATAGAGATGATTTTGATTGGTTTTCACACTGGAAATGGCTTGAAACTGAGCTCAAAGTAGTGGAAATGTTAAATTTTTGCTGATGTTCAAGAGTAAACAAACGACCTCACACGTCTAATACACGCCAGCTGGTGGGTCTAATATACATTCACAAAAGTGGTGATGATATTTATACAATTATTACAATATTGCATAACAGCAAATCTTCTATTTTTTGGTTTGAATAAAATTTCATTATTTATTTTATTTTATTATCACACTGGCCGATTCCCACCAAGGCAGGGTGGCCCGAAAAAGAAAAACTTTCACCATCATTCACTCCATCACTGTCTTGCCAGAAGGGTGCTTTACACTACAGTTTTTAAACTGCAACATAAACACCCCTCCTTCAGAGTGCAGGCACTGTACTTCCCATCTCCAGGACTCAAGTCCAGCCTGCCAGTTTCCCTGAACCCCTTCATAAATGTTACTTTGCTCACACTCCAACATTATGTGAATAAAAAATCAAAATGGAATTCATTTGTAAAGCCTCAAAACATAACTAATGAACAGAGGAAATGTTAGTTTAGTGCCAGGAATACCTACATTGTTTATTCTGGACCCTATTTTGAAATTGGAATATTTTGAACTTTAGTGTTAAATTGGCCAAATTACCAATTTCCGATCACTTTATTTTGTAGATGAAACAGTTGAGTTGGCGATTTCTTGTGTTCAATCGATAGAATAGAAGTAATACTAGTGAATAGCTAAGAATTTAGTTGACTGGAATAATGTAATTGGCCTAAAATGGGAGTCAAAGTCAGCAAAATCGCCGATTTGTAAATATTGCGGACACATCAAAATTCGCGAGAGCATTATTTCATCAATTTTCCATCAAATTTCATACTTTTTGTTTTATTACCTTCAGAAAAAAAATCTCTACCATTTCATAAGAAAAAATTTAATTTTTTTTTTAAATTCTTGGACCCTGGTGTGCACTTTGAAATTTGGCCTCTGGACCCTGAAAGGGTTAAATGGAAAAACAATGCACGATTGTGCTCACAAGCAATCATTACCAGGGTGCTTTACCCACTTTGTTGCTATCTGCTTGTAGACAAACACTTTCAAATTATATCCCCAGGGTATGACTTTTTTTTTTTTTAATTAGCACATCAGCCATCTCCTACTGAGGAAGTGAAATCCCCCCAAAAAAGAAAACACATTTACCATCACTTGTTTAATAGCTGTTTTGCCAGAAGTAAGAATACCAGACCAAACTACTCACTGAACTGCAACATCCCTACCTATCCCTCCTTTATAGTGCACTTCCCACCTCCAGGACTCGGGTCCAGCTAAATGGTGTCCCTAAATCCTTTCATAAATGTTACTTTGCTGACACTCCAAAAGAATGTCAAGCCATAAAAACCATTTGTTTACATAGCTTCACTCTGATATAATACACTCACACAAACCTGCCAGATGATCAAGCCACTAAGGCTTAAAGTCTATTTGACCATACCCTCCCTCCAATGCCTCCTGGGATGACCCCTACTATTCCTTTCCTCCTTTATCCTATTCTACTCATAATCTCTAAATGCCCACACCACCTCAACTATTTTTTCTCAGCCCTCTGAATTATACATTTGTCTTTTGGAAGGTCTAGCAAATATACCTAATTTTCAATGATTTTTCAAAGGCCTTATTTTTACAACGTATTCAGACTAATCCAGTCTTCCACACATATATATCTGACATTGTGAATATCTTCAGAAAGCTCATCTCCTACCTCTCTGTCAAACAGTGCCACTATCAAAAGTCCAGTAGCAAGCTGCTTAACATAAGTGGTCATCTGGTCTGGGTGGTAGGCACGAGCAAATGCCCAACACAAATAGCAAGCTGCATCCCTGTTAATGAAAGAGGAATAGAGATTTATTAAATAACATTTATTGAACAAGTTTAAAGTGAGAAATACACAGACTAATGATTTATTCATGTATCTGAATGTTTGGACTAATAGTCCCAAAAATCTACTTACAATTTACTTGTTATATTTTGTTGCATTAGATTATAATAAATGCCCTTCACTATGTCTTCCACATCCATTGAGGTAGAGTGACCAGGACTTATAGGATACAAGGATACCTTTCACGGATTGTTCAGCCACTGAATACAGCTAGTTAAGTATTTTATGTGACAAAAATTTACAAATTTTGGGGAAATTCAATACAAGTATAGTACCAAAACACCATCCAGAAATGAAAAAAAAAATGATTAACAAGTTTTTAAGACTTGACTTACCGTATATTAGAACCCACAGAACACTGTCCTCTGAGCTCATCATAGACAAGGGCCTTATCTATTACTGGTGCAACAGCTGGCAAACGTTCAGGCAGCAGCAAACCACGGCGGGCTGTTCCAATCCAACATGTAGTTCATTTAGTCGATAATGTACCCTTTCTTATTACCGTACATCCAAGATTAAAACATGGCTAATATAAAGTACACTGTAGCATTTATTAAAGAATTTATTATAAAATTTAAAAATCCACAGTATTAACCTGTATGTATTTACCATACTTATACAGGAATTTCCCTTACCATGTTTATTTTAACACAGCTAAAGATACATAATATATACATGTTGTGTATCTTTGTATGTATACGCTTCTAAACTGTTGTATTCTGAGCACCTCTGCAAAAACAGTGATTACGTGTGAGTGAGGTGAAAGTGTTGAATAATGATGAAAATATTTTCTTTTTGGGGATTTTCTTTCTTTTTTTGGGTCACCCTGCCTCGGTGGGAGACAGCCGACTTGTTGAAAAAAAAAAAAAGTATAAACCCAAAATAAAGATAATGAATGACTAAATGAATTAAATGAATAAACAGACAACTGGATGGGGACTTAAACTGTGGTTCATGCATATAGTAGACTTAACTCTGTAACCACCAGCCATTATATTTACAATGAGTTTACAATAAGCACTTCTATGAAATGGTTGTATCAAAGGGACCTCTTACTATTTTGTTTATTCAATAACAGTCACTCATTATTACTTATCCTAGGTTTATAAACTAAATGGCTTTCAGGGGTATAAGAACAGTATTTAGATAAAGGTAAGGAAGTTTTCATTGCATTTATGGATTTAGAAAAGGCAGACGGTGGATAGGAGAGCAATGTGACAGATGTTGCAAGTATATGGAATAGGTTGTAAGTTAGTAAATGATGTAAAGAGTTTTTATGATAATAGTGAGGCTCAGGTTAGGGTGTGTAGAAGAGAGGGAGACTACTTCCCAGTAAAAGTAGGTCTTAGACAGGGATGTGTAATGTCACCATTGTTGTTTAATATATTTATAGACGGGGTTGTAAAAGAAGTAAATGCTAGGGTGTTGGAGAGAGGGATGGGATTAAATTATGGGGACTCAAATACAAAATGGGAATTGACACAGTTACTTTTTGCTGATGATACTGTGCTTATGGGAGACTCTAAAAGAAAAGTTGCAAAGGTTAGTGGACAAGTTTGTGAGTGTGTGTAAAGGCAGAAAGTTGAAAGTGAACATAGAAAAGAGTAAGGTGATGAGGGTATCAAATGATTTAGATAAGGAAAAATTGGATATCAAATTGGAGAGAAGTATGGAAGAACTGAATGTTTTCAGATATTTGGGAGCTGACGTGTCAGTGGATGGATTTATGAAGGATGAGGTTAACCACAGAATTGATGAAGAAAAAAAGGTGAGTGGTGCATCGAGGTATATGTGGAGGCAAAAAACATTATCTACGGAGGCAAAGAAGGGAATGTATCAAAGTATAATGGTACCAACACTCTTATATGGGTGTGAAGCTTGGGTTGTAAATGCTGCAGCGAGGAGGCGGTTTGAGGTGGTGAAGATGTCCTGTCTAAGGGCAATGTGTGATGTAAATATTATGCAGAGAATTCGGAGTGTGGAAATTAGGGTGTGGAGTTAATAAAAGTATTAGTCAGAGAGCAGAAGAGGGGTTGTTGAGGTGGTTTGGTCATTTAGAGAGAATGGATCAAAATAGACTGACATACAGAACATATAAATCTGTAGGGGAAGGAAGGCAGGGTAAGGGTCATCCTCGAAAAGGTTGGAGGGAGGGGGTAAAGGAGGTTTCATGTTCAGGGGCTTGGATTTCCAGCAAGCGTGCGTGAGCGTGTTAGAGAGGAGTGAATGGAGACGAATGGAATTTGGGACCTGATGATCTGTTGGAGTGTGAGCAGGGTAATATTTAGTGATGGGATTCAGGGAAACTGGTTATTTTTATAGCTGGACTTGAGTACTGGAAATGGGAAGTACAATGCCTGCACTTTAAAGGAGGGGTTTGAGATATTGGCAGTTTGGAGGGATATGTTGTGTATCTTTATACGTATATGCTTCTAAACTGTTGTATTCTGAGCACCTCTGCAAAAGCAGTGATAATGTGTGAGTGTGGTGAAAGTGTTGAATGATGATGAAAGTATTTTCTTTTTGGGGATTTTCTTTCTTTTTTGGGTCACCCTGCCTCGGTGGGAGACGACCAACTTGTTGAGAGAGAAAAAAAAAAAAAAAAAAAAACTTCTAAATTGTATTCTGGGCACCTCTGCAAACACAGTGATTATGTATGAGTGAGGTGAAAGTGTTGAGTGATGATGAAAGTATTTTCTTTTTGGGGATTTTCTTTCTTTTTGGGTCACCCTGCCTCGGTGGGAGACAGCTGACTTGTTGGAAAAGAAAAAAAAACAGATGCACCATGAAAGCTTCTGGACTGTGGGATAAGACAGCAGAGTATTAGCTGGTGCCACTAGTACAACCATATACATGTATTTATGCAACTTCCCTATATGTGTCATTCATAGGTCTGAAATTTATCTACTACATAAAGAGATGAATGCCTGTTCTGCATGCTGAGCTGTGCTATATTCCAGCAATTTTATGTCCACAAACTAAAAATGAGTTGAATAACTGGTACTGCATACCATATATACCTTATAGTGTTAATAAATACCACAAGTTTGTGGTATTTATTAATTGTTTCATCTATACTGTACTGACAAAATTATGAAGACTGTACAACACATGGTTAAAGTATTTATGTAATATGTGTACATAATGTGTAATTTACTTCACTATGTACTCTGTATTGAAGAAAGGAAGGCTTATAAAAATTCAGGCATTATTTAAGTTAAACCCCAGCAAAAACAGTTATTTTTTATGCATTTTTTAATTTGAGAGATCATTAGCAAAAAAATATCTTCATAATAGCTAGTATGTACTTCAGAAGAGCTTATCAATTGTTAGTATGCAGTCACATGAAATGCCTGCCCAATTACCACAAAGTCATGTGACACACCTGATGAATCACCAGTCACAAGACATCTGATGAATCACCACTCACATGACATCTGATGGATCACCAGTCACATGACACACCTGGCCAATCACAGCAAACATGTGTATTTCCAGATTGGCTGATACCAGAGTACAGTAATTCCTGCCAATTGTGATACTGTACACGTAAATTTATTTTTTATGATATAATTCAACACAATTTTGCATGTTACGTGAGTGCCACTATAGAATAATTCCTTATTCAGTTATTCTAGATTATTTTAAGTTAGGCTAGGTTTGGTTAAGTTAGGTTATATTAGGTTCCTTTAGATAGGTTACATTAAGTTATGTTAGATTGTTAGGTGTTTTCTATTTGTATACAATAAAACTATCCAGTTAGCTGGACAAGAGTCCTGGAGGTGGGAGGCAAAGTGCCTGCACTCTAAAGGAGGGGTCTGGCAATACAGTGATAGTGTGAATGATGGTCACCCTCCCTTAGTAGGAGATGGCCATTGTGTTAAAAAAAAAAAAACTATTCACGTGGCAAAACTCATGTGAAAGCACATCTCTTTTCTAGAGCTTTAGAATTCTTTTTTTATCTTAGTTGCTGTATTTATGGTTTGATGTGTGAGTACTTGAAAATCTCTCAAAAGAACAAGCACTCAACAATTATAAGCTCAAATTACTACAGTATTATTATTAATTAAATTTTTTATTAATATATTGGCCGTTTCCCACCAAGGCAGAGCAACCCGAAAAAGAAGAAATGCTTTCATCACTTTCTCACTCCATCACTGTCTTGCGCCTACACTACAGATAAAAAACTGCAACATTTCTCCACCCCTCCTTCAGATCACAGGCACTGTACTTCCCACCTCCAGGACTCAAGTCCAACTAACCTGTTTCCCTGAATCTCTTCATAAATGTTACTTTGCTCACACTCCGACAGCATGTGAAATCACAATAACCATTTGAATGAGATGAAAGAGAAAAAATATAAAAATTATCCAGCATTTAACAAAACTGTAATAATTAAATCTACTGTTATTTGCCAATCTCTACATAACAAACATGAACTCTTCACACATGTATAAAATAATTATATGCAAAACTGAATGCATTTGGTTAAAAAAAAAAGGCAAAGACAACACTATATTTTGATTTTTTTTAACATTTGCAATGATCATAATTGTAGATCATTGTTCATTAGTCATTAATTGTTTAAAGTGTTCAAAGTGCCAATATCATGAGTGTAGAAAATTGTCAGATGGGGATCTGCTGTATTATAGTAAATCACATTGACTTCCAACAGTGAGGAAAAAAAATCCCTAAAGGTTTATTTGAGTTAAAAGCATTGTACAGTTCAGTGATTTTGTATACAATCATCTTGTCTTTCAACTCTGGGGTTTTAAGTGAAGAAGACTGCAGCTTACCTAGTTCTGCTAATGCAAGACATCCTCCATGCCAAGCTTTATCAGACTCCCTCGTAGAGAACAGTTCCAGTAGAGCTCCAACAACTTCATCTCCAAATTCTTGAGGTAAGCGACCCGTCACACGACCAATACCCTTGGCTGCAGACCATCTAATACATAAAACAATTAAAATTATTTATTGTTTAGATAACCTGGTAAGTGCAAGACACCCAGATCATGTACAAGGTCTGTTATTTTCAAAAGAAAAGAGCAAGCTGACGAATAGACCTAAATGTCATAATCAAGCCATAATGTTACATAACGTAAACCAGGTCCAATGGTTAGGGCTTCAGGAAAAGTGAGATGCCACCTTCAAGTTGTTCAAGGATTACTTTGCATCCATTTTGAACATTTTAATATGAAGGAATGACAATACTGTGCAGAACCACATGGTACCATCCATTTCATTCTCTCATAAAATGCACAGCTAGTCTTTTAGGTAGAAAACCGAGTACAATTCAGACTTGTTCATCAACCTGCAGACGATGCCACTCTCCCTAAGGAATATGGCTGCTGATAGGCAGATCAACCACATAGATACACCTACCATCCGACTTACGAACCTGCTCGACTTACGACCACTCGACTTACGACTATGTTTTTTATGCCAAATTTCTGGGAAATAAACAACTATTTGTGTTGTACACAGTGTTTATCCTAAACCTTACAGTATAAAATACAGTCTAACAATATAAAAAGTAAAGTAAAACATGAAATACCAAAATAAAACAATAAAATAAAGTCATTACAAAAATGTTTTGTTGATATTCAGTAGTAAAGTTCGACTTACGACCATTTCGACTTACGACCATTTCGACTTACTACCGGTTTCTCGGAATCGAACTCAGTCGTAAGTCGGATGGTATGTGTACCTCAAAAAGTTCTCTGGGTAAAAAAACTCACAACACTATCAATACCCCCACTAAAGCGGGTGATACTCAAGACACTGCCCTATGGATCTTCATTCAGCTGCAGAAAGTTGCAGCAATAATAATATATATCATTCACCCCACCTTGCAAATGGTGACAAGATAGATCTGGACACTGTTTCTTGAAGAACAGAAAAAGTAAAAAGAATTCTTTTTATTTCCCTGTACAGTACCTGGCAATGACATTAATAATAATAATAATATCAACATAAGCAATAAACCCAAAAGGGTCATACAACACTGTTGCTAACATTAAAGAATTGCAAACTTTGAGGGTTGGGTTCAATTGCTAGTAAAAGGAGGCAATAAATGGAACTGAATTGCAAACACTACTGCAGGCAAATATAACCTCCCTGATATAATAACATTTTTCATACTCGCCCTTTGATACAATTTCCATTAAGCATCACACAACAACTCAATTTTTATATTTCAAATATTGCCTTAAAAATAATTATGCACAAATACTGAATTACCTGACTACTGTATCTTTATCTTTAAGGCCTTGTAATAAGCAGTCTATGACCTCCTCAATCTCTCCAGCCACCTCGTCCTCCTCTTCCTCCTCCACTTTCTCATGTGCTGTCTCACCCTCAGAGGTTGCCCCTTGGACATTCATAGCAAGGCTTCGGCTTCCCCGCTGGTACCTCCAAGCTGCTACTCTTGGTTTCAAAAATGTCAGCCCTGCAATTAAAACATTTTTTAATTACAGTATTAATCTCCATGACATAAGGCAAAGCCACGGCAAACTCCTTGCACAATATTTAAATGAATACATTTTACATTTATTAACTCATTTTGAGGAAATTAAAAAATGGAACTCACCAATGCGCTGAATGAGCTTCATGGCCAATTTCCTGATGGGAGCATCACTGCTGGTGGTTACTTGACACTTTATGAGACGTGACAAGACATCCTGGGAGAAGGGGAACAGTTCCTCTCGTTTCCCATGCTTGAAAATCAAACCCATAGCTCGTAGAACTCCTAGCTTGTGGAATACACCATGTACATCTGCTTGCGAGGCATTTTCTAGTACCTGTAAGGATACCACAATACTTCTACATTAATAAAACTAGCCTTATACACTACAGTAGTATCAAATTTTAATTAAGCTACTACATGTATGGGTACAAAGTGTTTCTATACTTCACCTCAAAAGAATAGTTTAAAAATTCTGGCAGATAACGGTCTTTTAAGTCAGGCCTTGTAATAAACCTCGATGCCAGATAGGCTGCCATCTCATTTGACTTCTGGCCAGACTTCAGATGGGTTTTGATAACAGTAAATATCCTGGTGAAACAAAACAAAAAATTACATTTGAGCTGTAAGACTGGGGATTATTGGAATAGAGAAATATTAGAAAACGTGTAAAATGACCTTCGCGTTGAAAACATTTGAAAAGAAACAGTCAAATGTATGAAACTATTTTTCTGAATTCCTTTTTACATTCTCTCGCTTACTGTACAAGGTTGACTTATAAACAAAAACTCAGTTTATTTAATGCCAAACTAAACAGGAATGAATGCATATACTGTACAATATTGTGAACCAGCCAAGGCTAGGGTATGGTGGGATATGGCCAGTTTGTTGAAAAAAAAAATCAAAACTCTCAAAACAACAGAATAAATTACCCAGATGCTGTAATGGCAAATAATGTTCTATCAAAACATCTTTCAACAATACTTCAATGAAGGATTGCAACCAATAAACCAACTGCTATACAATAAAATGTATACACTAAGGTAGCTCACCTGTCAACAACACTTGCTCCAGTGTGCTGACTCTCAGCAACTGCTGTAGTGTCAAAGCCCATCATATTGAAAGGCATATAGACGATGATGGACAACCATAGTAGGAGAACATAGCTTTCATAAAAATCTGAGCTACCTTCTGGGGTTTCCAGCATTTCCAGAACTGGATGAAGGTCTTTAACCTGTCAATCAAAGTTAATTTTACATAAATGGACACCTTAAACAAAAATCTCCATTATGCAGGATGAAGTGTTTAAAAGCTAATGAATAGAGTGGAAAAGGACAAGTGCTTTCTAACTAACATTAATTTTGAAGGTATACAATACTAGAAAAACAAGTATATACTGGGTATGAAGAATATAGAAAGACGAGCTGATGCAAAAATATGAGGCATTATTTAAATATGTGAAACAAAGAATACCAAAAGTAGACAACCCATAATTTGTACACCAAAAATGGGTGTAGGGATTAGTTAGTGAAATTTAACAAAATGCTTCATATACATTACTGAAAAATTTATGGCTTTCTAAAAATAAATGCACAGAGTACTAAACAGAAAAATCAGTTGAGAATTTCTTAACCTAGCAGTTTAACAAGGTAACTTTAATTTACTGTAATGAAAATGCTATTTTATTACCATATACATAATACTTGGACTTCCAGCAAGCGTGCGTGAGCGTGTTAGATAGGAGTGAATGAAGACAAATGGTATTTGGGACCTGACGAGCTGTTGGAGTGTGAGCAGGGTAATGTTTAATGAAGAGATTCAGGGAAACCAGTTATTTTATATAGCCGGACTTGAGTCCTGGAAATGGGAAGTACAATGCCTGCACTTTAATGGAGGGGTTTGGGATATTGGCAGTTTGGAGGGATATGCTGTGTATCTTTATATGTATATACTTCTAAACCGCTGTATTCTGAGCACCTCTGCAAAAACAGTGATTATGTGTGAGTGAGATGAAAGTGTTGAATGATGATGAAAGTATTTTCTTTTTGGGGATTTTCTTTCGTTTTAGGTCACCCTGCCTCGGTGGGAGATGGCCAACTTGTTAAAAAAAAAATAATAATAATAATAATACTGTAGTAAATTAGAAATGAGATCAAAAAGTGCTGATTATACTACCTTTTTTAAATATACACAAATTGTGAACAAGAATTAATACTATTTTTCTCATGGAAAAAATGGCAGAGAGAAAAAAAAAGATTACCTCATGAGGAAGCTTTCTGACAATAGTTTTGTAACCACGAACTTTGATGACAAGCCAGAGGTATTTAAAAGCCTGACTAATGACTTCATTTTTGTTGTTTGGATTGCGTGTAATTTTCACCAACTGCGTGAGAATCCCCTCCAGGTGTGGGTCTAAGAGATGAGGTTGTTCCTGAGGAGGATATGCCAATACAGTCAGCAGAGAAGAAACCTCTGATACTTATAATACATGATTAATACTGTATTCATTGGAAAGTGCTAAACCCATGCAGCACCTGAGAAATAGAAGGTAATCAAGTTTAATTCAAGAAAGCAGATGATTCAAACTGTATTATTTACAATATATTGTCATAATATCTACCATACTTATGAATTGACCAAATATTGGTTATTTGAAACTACATAACTAGTTAGTTCTTAGACTTTATTACACTTTATTTTTAGGTTAAAAATTTGTTACAAAACCACTGGAATATAATGAACAAAAAAGACTAATAAGATTAATGAGTGGAGGCAAATGGTTATTTGGTACTTGAAAAGCTGGAGTGAGTGAGGTAACATTTATGAAGGGATTCAGGAAAAATTGGTAGACAGACTTGGGTCCTGGCGGTGGCAAGTACAGCGCCTGCACTCTGAAGGAGGGGCGGGGTTATTTTCAATTTTGAACTGCAGTATTGGCACCCCTCTGGCAAGGCAGTGATGGTGACAGTGTTTCTTCTTTTTTAGGTCACCCCATCTTGGTGGGAGATGGCCAGTGTGAGTGAGTGAGCACAAACAGTGGCATGAGTGGCCTATGGCTCATGGAACAATGAACAGACAGACAGGTCCTAGATGTGGTTGCTCTGGCTCATACTGGACAAATGTTGGAGTCATAAGGCTTGCTAATACTTCAGAAGACAAATGTACACTATGAACAAAATCTATAAAGATGGACTTTTGTCTGTTCTGTCCAATACTTCCAACATTTGTCCTGCTAATTTTTTCCCCCAAAATTACCAAAATCCATTAATGTGAGCTTTTATTGTATAGATTTATACATTGTTTATAACAAAATATTAATCAGAAAAGAAATAAACTATGTATTTGTATTTGTAGTTAAGGTTGGGAGGTCATTTCAACAATAATTAAATACTACCTGATAATAATCTAAGATTGTCTTCAAAGTTTCGAAAGCTTTTTCAGCAGTGAACTGGTTTTCAACTGCTTTTTCTATGGAGCTCAGCATCTGTTGCACTTCTTCATGTTCACGAAACATGTCGAGAGAGTAAGATATACCCATATCATCCTCTGGTCTCCCCAACTCCTCATTGGTCCCGGGAATCTCCATCAGTTCATCAACTGCCATTGCTAGCTTTGAGATAAGTCTGAAAATGATGTTCAAAATTTTATATTACAACTTTCATCATGGTCAATACAGTGGAACCTCGGTACTCGAACTTAATTCGTTCCAGAAGGCTGTTTGAGTGCTCATCTGTTCAATAACTGAACGAATTTTTTCCAACCAATTTCTTTTTGGTTGACTGTTATCACTAATCTTCGTAGGCCCCATGGTGACTTGTATATACAAATATAAAAAGAAAATGCGAAGAAACATGAAACAGTTTACAGTGAAGTTCTGGCAGGTCATGTTTGTTTGGTTGAGTGCCACACAAACGGTCTACTGAGCGAATTTTTTTACCAAACAAAGCATTTGAATACCAAATTGTTCAAGTAGCGAGCTGTTCGAGTACCAAGGTTCCACTGTATTCCATTTTTTATTTTCATATGGATGCGAGGCATCCATCTAGAAAGAAATGAAAGTGTTAAACTGATGGGGGAAAAAAAGGGTGTTAATGACAAGCACGACACTGATAAAAGTATATACCATTTGATTCATAGTGCTAAGGCCTTGTATGACAGAGCCTTTCCATCCTATGTACAGTGTATTTGTGAACTACCTGTTGGTTTTCTAAACCACTTATTCCCACTTTGTCAGACAGCACATTTATCAAAATGTAAATGATTAAAATGTGAAATAGCGAGAAAGTGTAAATAGCATACAGTACTGATCAAATTCTCAATACACTGAAATATTGTATTTTTATTTAAATTTCAAATACTTATTTTTAAGTCTTCATGCTCTGGTACATATGACTTTCTTTTTAAATCCAAAATACAGGTGCTTTTGTTAATACTTACGTCAAAGTTGATATCATGATGGATGTGATCTGACAGTCATTTACAAAGTCAAAATTTTCCTTTTCTATACTTCTCTGTAACAATTGGTATATCACAATATTTAAAAATACTGTGATATAATTGTTCAATAAATAAAGAAAACTTTCATGATTTGCTGATACAATTTTAAGTACAGTGGTACCTTGAGATACAAATTTTTTTCGTTCCAGAAGGCTATTCAAGTGCCGATACTGAATGAATTTGTTCCCAGAAGGAATACTGTAAATCAGATTAATCCATTTCAGACCTCCAAAAATACACTTACAAAAGCACTTGCATAAATACACTTACATAACTGCTCGAGTTTTGAGCTGCTCGTATCCCAAGGTACCACTGTATTTAAGACAACATCTTGATTCAAAATAAATTTTTAGTATACTAATATAATGCCCAAGGCAATCAACCAGGGCACAAATTTATGTAAAACTGTATGAACTAGTGTATGTAATATGACTCAGAATTTAATATTTTGTCTAAATCATCCTGAAACCAATAGTATTGTATTAGATTTGTATTTTTTTCAAGGTAATTGTGAATTACTCAAGTTACTACAGAATACCTGAGGAAAATGCAACATTACTTCAAAATATATTTTCCCTACCTATCTTTACCAGTACAAGTACAGTATACGGAGAAAAAAAATTTCCTTCACTGATTTTTAATGTATTCTTAGGCAAGCCAATAAACATATCAACTAAAATTATGAAACAATCTTAATCATACATATTCTTAACCTTACATATACTGACTCAACATAATTAAACCTAATGCCACAACAATATTACTTGAGAGAGAAAAGAAGATAATTAGCTGAATAATTGTATAAATATTCACTTTAACAATTTGGTTGCTACTAACAATAAACTTCTTAAGTTTGTGTTAAGCTTGTTTAGGTTGTTTTGCCAAGCTTAGGAATATTAACTTGGATCTTTTCCAAATAATCTAAGGGATTAAGATGTTTTGCAAGGCTATATTAACTTGAGATATTTTTCTGACAATGTGAGGAAATATGAGAACTCATTATAGTTGAAATCTACAATAACCATTGTATTACAATATAAAAATGGACATCAAAGATTAAATAAAACAGATTAAATTCTATATATGGTACTTCATTATACATTATACTATGGCAACCAAACAAAATTATTGCATAATTTTTTTATTCAGGCCATGAAATAAACCAAGCAAAAATTAATAAATTACTAGTGAACAAAATATTTGTTTATTTCTTGGTCTCTTTTTGTATTATATAATTTAACACTCAGTTTTGTTTTTTAACTTTTAGTTTCACATTTTGTCCAGCCTATGCTAGACATAAGATAACCCAACACATATATGTACTCTGTCCAGTATAAAATAATTTTAATCCCAGTCTAAATTGCCCAAAATGCTGGGCATACTAAGGGCTTTTCAATATATATATGACTACACAACATAATGTTTTGAAAATATTTTTTTTTTTTTTTTGGGGGGGGGTTTGTTCTCGTCCTGCCCACCCACACACACTTGTAGCAGCACCAGTACACACTGTTACAATACATCCCACCACCTATGTACAATGGTGCAATGATAATGAATCAAGAATCAACGGTATATGAGTCACTGGAATGTGAAATACGTCACTTAAGACGTTCAGTGACACCTCCAACATTCTCCTTGAAATGAGTCACCTTATACATTAATCATCCTTCATGCCGGTGAACGATTCAATCTCAGGAACTTTAAGTACCTTCCAATTCCTCGGAACAAACGTGATTACTTCTTATTCCCCCCAGGTACCACAAAATCCCTACGAATTTAGCGCTCTTCTATGACAAGACATTAACAATGGATGATGACACACCTGCACACTCATCCACCTCTCACTCATCCACCACACACCATGCAATGCACAACTCGAAGTATCACAACCTGCTGGATCAGAAGTAATGCTCAAGTGTGTCGCTGCTCTCAAAATTTACACCATTGTCTCATAATATTCCACAAGACAACAAAACTTGCTGCCCTAGGTGCACAGGGCCACCACAAGGCGCGCCTCACTCATCACCCTTATTTCTTACCTTCTCGCAAGTAAGCAAGTAAGCAAGTAAGCAAGCAAGCAAGTAAGCAAGCAAGCAAACAAACAAGCAAGTAAGCAAGCAAGCAAGTAAGCAAGCAAGTAAGTAGTAAATAAGTAAGTAGTAAGTAAGTAAGTTAATAAGTAAGTAGTAAGTAAGTAAGTTTATTCAGGTATACACAAATACACTTACATATATTATCATACATAGCAACATATGTGTATTATTATTATTATAATCAAGGGGGAAGCGCTAAACCCGGAGGATTATACAGCGCCTGGGGGGGGGATGTGGAAGGCATTCAGGCTTAATTCGGGGAACTGGAGCACAGATCCAATTCCCTAAATCAAGAGCCCCTCACCAACATCAAGGAACCTTCCTTGAGGGGAACATATGTGTAGAGAACCTAGAAAAGTCAAAGTGACTTATTTCCATTAGGGTCCTTTTAATACCTAACTATTATACTATGAAGGAGGTAAGTGCAGTGCACACATACACACACACACACACTCAGCGACAATACGAAAATGACATAGCATCGAAAGTCAAGTCTGACCCGAAGCTGTTGTACAGCCACATCAGGAGGAAAACAACAGTCAAGGACCGGGTAATCAGACTGAGGAAGGGTGATGGGGAGTTCACAAGAAACGACCGAGAGGTATGTCAGGAGCTCAACACAAGATTTAAAGAAGTATTTACAGAGGAAACCAGTAGGACTCCAGGAAATCAGAACAGGGGGTACACGAACAAGTGCTGGATGAGGTACACATAACCAAGGAGGAGGTGAAGAAGCTGCTATGTGAACTTGACACCTCAAAGGCGGTGGGACCAGACAACATCTCTCCGTGGGTCCTTAGAGAGGGAGCAGAGATGCTGTGTGTGCCATTAACAAAGATCTTCAACACATCCATTGAAACTGGGCAACTCCCTGAGGTATGGAAGATGGCAAATGTAGTCCCAATTTTTAAAAAGGGAGACAGACATGAGGCACTAAACTACAGACCTGTATCACTAACGTGTATAGCATGCAAAGTCATGGAGAAGATCATCAGGAGGAGAGTGGTGGAGCACCTGGAAAGAAACAAGTGTATAATTGACAACCAGCACAGTTTCAGGGAAGGAAAATCCTGTGTCACAAACCTACTGGAGTTTTATGACAAGGTGACAGAAGACAAGAGAGAGAGGGGTGGATCGACTGCATTTTTTTGGACTGCAAGAAGGCCTTCGACACACTTTCTCACAAGAGGTTACTGTAAAAGCTAGAGGATCAGGCACACATAACAGGAAAGGCACTGCAATGGATCAGAGAATACCTGACAGGGAGGCAACAACGAGTCATGGTACGTGATGAGGTGTCAGAGTGGGCGCCTGTGACAAGTGGGGTTCCATAGGGGTCAGTCCTAGGACCTGTGCTGTTTTTGGTATATGTGAATGACATAACGGAAGGTGGCCCGGTGGTCTGGTGGCTAAAGCTCCCGCTTCACACACGGAGGGCCCGGGTTCGATTCCCGGCGGGTGGGAACATTTCGACACGTTTCCTTACACCTATTGTCCTGTTCACCTAGCAGCAAATAGGTACCTGGGTGTTAGTCGACTGGTGTGGGTCGCATCCTGGGGGACAAGATTAAGGACCCCAATGGAAATAAGTTAGACAGTCCTCGATGACGCACTGACTTTCTTGGGTTATCCTGGGTGGCTAACCCTCCGGGGTTAAAAATCCAAACGAAATCTTTCTTTCCTAGACTCAGAAGTGTCCTTGTTTGCAGAGTACAAAACAAATTCTGGCCACAAAATAGAGCGAAACACCAACGTCAAAGACCTGGGAGTGATTATGTCGGAGGATCTCACCTTCAAGGACCATAACATTGTATCAATCGCATCTGCTAGAAAAATGACAGGATGGATAATGAGAACCTTCAAAACTAGGGAGGCCAAGCCCATGATGACACTCTTCAGGTCACTTGTTCTATCTAGGCTGGAATATTGCTGCACTCTAACAGCACCTTTCAAGGCAGGTGAAATTGCCGACCTAGAAAATGTACAGAGAACTTTCACGGCGCGCATAACGGAGATAAAACACCTCAATTACTGGGAGCGCTTGAGGTTTCTAAACCTGTATTCCCTGGAACGCAGGAGGGAGAGATACATGATTATATACACCTGGAAAATCCTAGAGGGACTAGTACCGAACTTGCACACGAAAATCACTCACTACGAAAGCAAAAGACTTGGCAGACGATGCACCATCCCCCCAATGAAAAGCAGGGGTGTCACTAGCACGTTAAGAGACCATACAATAAGTGTCAGGGGCCCGAGACTGTTCAACTGCCTCCCAGCACACATAAGGGGGATTACCAACAGACCCCTGGCAGTCTTCAAGCTGGCACTGGACAAGCACCTAAAGTCAGTTCCTGATCAGCCGGGCTGTGGCTCGTACGTTGGTTTGCGTGCAGCCAGCAGCAACAGCCTGGTTGATCAGGCGCTGATCCACCAGGAGGCCTGGTCACAGACCGGGCCGCGGGGGCGTTGACCCCCGAAACTCTCTCCAGGTAAACTCCAGGTAAACTCCAGATGATGTGAAGTTAATGAGAAGAATCAAATCAGACGAGGATCAGGCAAGACTACAAAGAGACCTGGACAGGCTACAAGCCTGGTCCAGCAACTGGCTCCTTGAGTTTAACCCTGCCAAATGCAAAGTCATGAAGATTGGGGAAGGGCAAAGAAGACCGCAGACACAATATAGTCTAGATGGCCAAAGACTGCAAACCTCACTCAAGGAAAAAGATCTGGGGGTGAGTATAACACCGAGCATATCTCCTGAGGCGCACATCAATCAGATAACTGCTGCAGCATACGGGCGTCTGGCAAACCTTCGGATAGCATTCCGATACCTCAGTAAGGAATCGTTCAAGACTCTGTATACCATTTACGTCAGGCCCATACCGGAGTATGCAGCACCAGTTTGGAATCCACACCTGGTCAAGCACGTCAAGAAATTAGAGAAAGTACAAAGGTTTGCAACAAGACTAGTCCCAGAGCTAAGGGCATTGTCCTACCAAGAAAGGGTGAGGGAAATCGGCCTGACGACACTGGAGGACAGGAGGGTCAGGGGCGACATGATACCGACATATAAAATACTGCGCGGAATAGACAAAGTTTTCAAATTCAAATTCAAATTCAAATTCAAAGTTTATTTCTCTATAAGGATTACAATGCTGAGTTTACAGAAATTTGGTTATTGTGTGGTTTACATGTAGTAAAATTGTGATTACAGAGTGTACCACTAGAACGCTTAGCATAGCTAGGCATTTCGGGCAGACTTAGTTTTATTCTTAATTGTAAAATATTACAAATTATGAGGTAAGTTGGTATTATGGCTAAGTGACTAAATACTAGTTTGTAAGTTTAGCAATGTGAATGCTTTTGTTTTGGCACAGTACATAGTTTCAGTATTGGAGTATCACAGGATTCATTATTTTAAGATTGAGATTAATATTTCTGTTTATGGTCAAATGAGTGAGTGAGTGTAAGTGTGAACCACCAGGTGGTATTCGTGTAGTTAGTTGACGGGGTGTATCAGGGAGATAAGATGTTTTCTAATGGTAGTTTTGAAGGTGATGAATGTGTCTGCAGTTCTAGAGTTCTCAGGTAGGGTATTCCAGATTTTAGGGCCTTTGACATACATTGAATTTTTGTAAAGGTTTAGTCGGACACGGGGAATGTCGTAGAGATGTTTGTGTCTGGTGTTATGCCTGTGGGTTCTGTCACAACTATCAAGAAAGCGTTTTAGGTCAAGGGATGTTCCAGAGATGGGACACAGAAACAAGAGGTCACAATTGGAAGTTGAAGACTCAGATGAATCAAAGGGATGTTAGGAAGAATTTCTTCAGTCATAGAGTAGTCAGGCCGTGGAATAGCCTAGAAAGTGACGTAGTGGAGGCGGGAACCATACATAATTTTAAGGAGAGGTATGATAAAACTCATGGGGCAGGGAGAGAGAGGACCTAGTAGCAATCAGCGAAGAGGCGGGGCCAGGAGCTATGACTCGACCCCTGAAACCACAAATAGGTGAGTACAAATAGGTGAGTGTACACACACACACACACACATGATAACGACATACAAAATACTGAGAGGAATTGACAAGGTGGACAAAGACAGGATGTTCCAGAGATGGGACACAGCAACAAGGGGACACAGTTGGAAGTTGAAGACACAGATGAATCACAGGGATGTTAGGAAGTATTTCTTCAGCCACAGAGTAGTCAGTAAGTGGAATAGTTTGGGAAGCGATGTAGTGGAGGCAGGATCCATACATAGCTTTAAGCAGAGGTATGATAAAGCTCACGGCTCAGGGAGAGTGACCTAGTAACGATCAGTGAATAGGCGGGGCCAGGAGCTCGGACTCGACCCCCGCAACCTCAACTAGGTGAGTACACACACACACACACACACACACACACACACACACACACACACACAGGACAGGATGTTCCAGGGAGGGGACACAGAAACAAGAGGCCACAATTGGAAGTTGAAGACACAAATGAGTCAGAGAGATAGTAGGAAGTATTTCTTCAGTCATAGAGTTGTAAGGCAGTGGAATAGCCTAGAAAATGACGTAGTGGAGGCAGGAACCATACACAGTTTTAAGACGAGGTTTGATAAAGCTCATGGAGCGGGGAGAGAGAGGGTCTAGTAGCAACCGGTGAAGAGGCGGGGCCAGGAGCTAGGACTCGACCCCTGCAACCACAAATAGGTGAGTACAAATAGGTGAGTACACACACACACACACACACACACACACACAACATTATATATATATATATAATATAAAAATTTATATATATTATATATATATATATATATATATATATATATATTAAAATATATATATATATTTTTTTTTTTTTTTTTTTTTTTTTCTATAGCGGAATGGGGACCCTCATCCTCAGAGAAGACAATAAACGTACCT